GTGTTCAGATAGGGCCACATCTGAACACTTACGGAGTAAAAGTGTTGATGGATAACCTTTCTTTTCCCTTCAAAAAGCTCATGCCTATTCCAGAACAGATTAAAATTCTCAATGAAGGCAAGTCCTCTGCGTGAACATTCGTTGAGTAGGAAAGTATTTAGCTGATACAGACGACTGAATTTCATTTGCTTCCCGTCCACATTTGGTAGTGGGCCAATGATAACGATTTTTGTGTCCATTTTAGCAAGGTCGTCCAATAAGAGAGAGTAATCCCGTTTCAACTTTTCACTTGTGTTGTCATAGACGTCTACTGCCCCCACGTGGATCAACAATCTTTTTACCCCGCCGGTCTCAGACAGAAGCCTCGGAGCCAACCGCCTTATCTCATCCACTTTAGCAGAGTGTACTGAGTGAACCTTGAGATTATGCATGTTTACATGTTTTATCGCAGAATCCCCAATAAAGAGCGACTCAGCTGCATTTGACCTTGACTGAGACTGAGACTGGGACTGAGAGGCTACTGCTGATTCATCTTCCAAAAGTGGTGAAAAGCGGTTTCTTGTAATTAAAGATTTTTGCTGTGGCATTATGACACTCTTGTTATCATTAGCTTTGCCTTGTTTGGGCTTGGCACCATATGTGTTCCAACAATTGTCTCTGTTGATTTTGGGAAATGAAATAGCGTCATCATAACTTACGTTCTGTCCATTTGGTCCATTTCCTTTCACTGGTATTGTTGTGTTCAGCCCCAATTCTGATTCAAGCACAAACATTCGGTCTTGAAGAAGTTTTAGCTCCTGTTTGAGTGAAAAACAGCCGTCGCAAAGTTTTGTTCTTTTTTCCCGTCCTCCCGACATGCTGTAAGTTAGGTACATTCCACAAGTCTTGTGTTGAAGTTTGTAAAAAGGAGTAATCCGTGTTTTGTGGAATAAAAATGTAAGCAAAAATGATTAAAGGAGATAAAAAAGCAGCAAGCGAGGAGCAGCAAGAGAATGCGACTGCTCTGTCCAGAGCAGGAAGTAATGAAAGTATCCATTAGATATGGATTTAGATATTGATATCTTAGATATTAGATATTGTTTAAAGGCACACCGCGGACTTTGTGACCTAAAGAGTTGACACATATGAGTTATTTTATATGAATACTTGGGCCAATATACAGCGCTTGACACTTGCAATGCTCCGAGCGGGGCTGCCCTCTTGAAATACCGCCCATGTAAGTTTCGAGCAGACGGACCGTCTGCCACCAGGTCACGTGACTTGGAAGAAAGACTTGCTTTACGGCTACAGGCGCTGATATACTCATGGAGCTAAGGCTTTTGCTACTCATTTTTCACCTGCTCGACTCCTGGTCATGGCTGAGGCAAGGAAAAAGTTTAAACCTTCGGAGGAGGCTAAAAAGAGGAAACGCGAAAGGGATCGTGCTGTAAGCTGCATGTCTGTATGAGCGCTGCTCTTCACCTGGTTCCTGGATGTCATCGACTGCAAAGATGTCATTCCACGCAGCACGAGCTAGACGCAGAACTCCCTCATCCAGGATATAGAAGTCCATGTGTGGTAGATTACTAATGCAGCGGTCTGGAGGCTGACCACAGCAGAGTCTCTCAATATCTGTAGGCATGTCTCTACAGTTTGAACACACACACCAGTGCATGCTGTCTGAATACACACTCAAAAGACACCGGCTGACTGTTTGTTGACTTTTGCGACAGTGCTGAGTTGCTTGTGGCCACTAGGGGCGCTAAACGTGAAAGTTGCAGGTCTAGCGCCCCTAGTGGCCAAGAGTTACACGGTGTGCCTTTAAATATTAGATATTGTTTAAATATCCATTTAAACAATATCCATTTAAACAATATCCATTTAAACAATATCTCATTTAAACAATATCCATTTAAACAATATCCATTTAAACAATATCTCATTTAAACAATATCCATTTAAACAATATCTCATTTAAACAATATCTCATTTAAACAATATCCATTTAAACAATATCCATTTAAACAATATCCATTTAAACAATATCTCATTTAAACAATATCTAATTTAAACAATATCCATTTAAACAATATCTCATTTAAACAATATCCATTTAAACAATATCCATTTAAACAATATCCATTTAAACAATATCCATTTAAACAATATCCATTTAAACAATATCTAATTTAAACAATATCCATTTAAACAATATCCATTTAAACAATATCCATTTAAACAATATCTAATTTAAACAATATCCATTTAAACAATATCTAATTTAAACAATATCCATTTAAACAATATCCATTTAAACAATATCCATTTAAACAATATCTAATTTAAACAATATCCATTTAAACGAGAGACAACATTTTTAATCAAATCATGAATTACTTTGGACCATGTTTGTACAAATGACTCATGTAAAATACAAAAGTCTCTCAAATGTTTGTATAAATCCTGTCACACGTGATGATCTCACAGGAGTTTAGAAACCAAAGCGGTCTCATTTACGCTGCTACTTTCTCCTCTTCAGAACAAAAGAGCTGTTTGAGATCATTACATGTGTTTCTACTGTAGGTTTATGTGACCGTTCTAAACTCATCGTTTCAACTCATTTAACTGTGATGAATAAAGACACAGTTCTGTTGGAAACATAGTTAGTATTATTATATATTATTACTATATTACAGTTATTATTATTATATATTATATATATTATTACTATATTACAGTTATTATTAAAGTGTTTTCAGCACAAACAGCAAAAAGTGTGGTAAATATCTGAGACAAACATGAACGATCTACAAGAACAGGAGGATATAAGTTATATATGTTATATATAAGTTATATATGTTATATATAAGTTATATATGTTATATATAAGTTATATATGTTATATATGTTATATATAAGTTATATATGTTATATATAAGTTATATATGTTATATATAAGTTATATATGTTATATATAAGTTATATATGTTATATATAAGTTAGATATATGTTATATATAAGTTAGATATATGTTATATATAAGTTAGATATATGTTATATATAAGTTAGGTATAAGTTGGATATGCCACAGAACTCTAGTCCTCAGTCTTCAAAGCACAAAGCAGTCTGCTCCAAAGTGTGAAAGTAATCACACACGGACCAATCACAGCGGAGCTTCTCTCACACACGGACTTACTGTATTTTGAGTCCTTTACTTTTTACACTGTACACTCACGATTGTGTGTCCTCCTCTGACTCTAACTTGATCATCAAATATGCTGATGACACCACCATCATCGGTCTCATCAGTAATAACGATGAATCCTCTTATAGAGCCGAGGTCCAAAACGTGGTTCAGTGGAGTCAAACTAACAACCTCCAGTTGAACGCATCCAAAACATGTGAACTGGTCACGACTTCAGTCGCAATAGTTCTCATTTGCCTGTCGCAATCGATAACTCCCAGGTGCAGATCGTAGAGGAGCAAGTTTCTGGGTCTAACTCTGTCTAACCTGAAATGGGTTAAAAACACTGACCGAGTCGTTAAGAAAGCTCGTCAGCGTCTCTACTTCCTGCGTAAACTTAGAGAATTTACCACTAACTCTAAGATTGTGCTTAACTTTTATGGCTGCACCATTGAGAGTTTACTTGTTGGTTCTGTGTCTGTGTGGTTTGGAAACATCACAGATAAAGAAAAGAGAGCTTTAAACAAGGTGCTCCGCTCTGCAAAGAGGACCGTGGGCTGTGAGCTTCCTGTTCTGGAGGTTCTTTATAAATCCAGACTTTTAAACCAAGCTCTTAAAATCATCAATGACTCTTCTGGCCACCCTGGGAAAGCCATGTTCCAGCTTCTTCCCTCTGGCAGAAGATACTGTTCTCTGAGATGCAGGACATCTCGTTATGCTAATAGTTTTTTTCCACGAGCTGTTATCAGTTTGAATAGAGCACTTTAATGTTTTTGCACTTGTATAGATCTGTTTTAGTTGGTCAACTTCACAGTGACATTTGTTTACTGTTTTTATAATTTGTTTTATTTTTGTCTTTTAATGTTGTTTTATGTCTGTACTTGTCCTGTGCACACTGGGAACTTTTACTAATGTATTCCAATGTAGTGTTACTGCAAATGGCGAAATAAATGAATCTGAATCACAGCGGAGCTTCTCCCACACACGGACCAATCATAGCGGAGCTTTTGCGTTGCACAAGTGACGTCACGTCACCACCGTAAGTGGTGCTATTTGAGCTATTTTAGAACAGGCCAGCGGGCGACTCATCTGGTCCTTACGGGCGACCTGGCGCCTGCGGGCACCGCGTTGGTGACCTCTGCTGTAGACCCAGGACTGAGGCCGTAGACCCAGGACTAAGGCCGTAGACCCAGGACTGAGGCTGTAGACCCAGGACTGAGGCTGTAGACCCAGGACTGAGGCTGTAGACCCAGGACTTAGGCCGTAGACCCAGAACTAAGGCCGTAGACCCAGGACTGAGGCTGTAGACCCAGGACCGCAGCCGTAGACCCAGGACTAAGGCCGTAGACCCAGGACTGCGGCTGTAGACCCAGGGCCGAGACCGTAGACCCAGGACTAAGGCCGTAGACCCAGGACTGAGGCTGTAGACCCAGGACTTAGGCTGTAGACCCAGAACTAAGGCCGTAGACCCAGGACTAAGGCCGTAGACCCAGGACTGAGGCTGTAGACCCAGGACCGCAGCCGTAGACCCAGGACTAAGGCCGTAGACCCAGGACTGCGGCTGTAGACCCAGGGCCGAGACCGTAGACCCAGGACTAAGGCCGTAGACCCAGGACTGAGGCTGTAGACCCAGGACTTAGGCCGTAGACCCAGAACTAAGGCCGTAGACCCAGGACTAAGGCCGTAGACCCAGGACTGAGGCTGTAGACCCAGGACTAAGGCCGTAGACCCAGGACTGAGGCTGTAGACCCAGGGCCGAGGCCGTAGACCTAGGACTAAGGCCGTAGACCCAGGACTGAGGCTGTAGACCCAGGACTGACCTACCCCCTCTTGGCAGGCTCCGTGCTGCCCCCCAGTCAGCTGCAGACGGTGCGGGAGCAGATGGCGACGGCCCTGAAGCAGCTGAAGGAGATGGAGGAGCGGGTGAAGGGGGTGCCTGCTCTGGAGCAGGAGGTGCACCGGCTGCGAGCGGAGAAACACGCTCTTCTGCTGGAACTGCAGGACAAGAGTTCCACCCTAGAGGTGACCGAGTCCTCCACACAAACACCAGAGGGGCCTCCACCGCGGTACATCAGGGACCTCAGGGACCCCATGGACCCCAGGTACAGCTCCTTTCTGTCACTTCAGTATCACCTTCTTTATGCTGTTGTCTTTCTCTCCCCCCTCGTACCTCCAAAGCCACCAGCAGCATCTAACTCTCCTCATTCACCCACGGGATCTGCCTCAGACCCTACCCTCAGACCCTACTCTCAGACCCTACTCTGACCCAATACTAATGACCCCTCCCCCCGTCCAACACCCAAAACCTATCCATCGCCCAAAAACCACCCACCTCTCCATCCTCCTCCCCTGCTTTCCCCTTCCCCTCTAATCTCTAAACACTGGGATGCACTGGGTCTGACAGTTAGAGCAGAGACCCAAGCCCGGTCTTAAAGCCACCTGTTAGAGCAGAGACCCAAGCCCGGTCTTAAAGCCACCTGTTAGAGCAGAGACCCAAGCCCGGTCTTAAAGCCACCTGTTAGAGCAGAGACCCATGCCCGGTCTTAAAGCCACCTGTTAGAGCAGAGACCCAGGCCCGGTCTTAAAGCCACCTGTTAGAGCAGAGACCCAAGCCCGGTCTTAAAGCCACCTGTTAGAGCAGAGATCCAGGCCCGGTCTTAAAGCCACCTGTTAGAGCAGAGACCCAGGCCCGGTCTTAAAGCCACCTGTTAGAGCAGAGACCCAGGCCTGGTCTTAAAGCCACCTGTTAGAGCAGAGACCCAAGCCCGGTCTTAAAGCCACCTGTTAGAGCAGAGACCCAAGCCCGGTCTTAAAGCCACCTGTTAGAGCAGAGACCCAGGCCCGGTCTTAAAGCCACCTGTTAGAGCAGAGACCCAGGCCCGGTCTTAAAGCCACCTGTTAGAGCAGAGACCCAAGCCCGGTCTTAAAGCCACCTGTTAGAGCAGAGACCCAGGCCCGGTCTTAAAGCCACCTGTTAGAGCAGAGACCCAGGCCCGGTCTTAAAGCCACCTGTTAGAGCAGAGACCCAGGCCTGGTCTTAAAGCCACCTGTTAGAGCAGAGACCCAAGCCCGGTCTTAAAGCCACCTGTTAGAGCAGAGACCCAGGCCCGGTCTTAAAGCCACCTGTTAGAGCAGAGACCCAGGCCCGGTCTTAAAGCCACCTGTTAGAGCAGAGACCCAGGCCCAGGGTCTTAAAGCCACCTGTTAGAGCAGAGACCCAGGCCCGGTCTTAAAGCCACCTGTTAGAGCAGAGACCCAGGCCCGGTCTTAAAGCCACCTGTTAGAGCAGAGACCCAGGCCCGGTCTTAAAGCCACCTGTTAGAGCAGAGACCCAGGCCCGGTCTTAAAGACACGTTAAGCCACCTGTTAGAGCAGAGACCCAGGCCCGGTCTTAAAGCCACCTGTTAGAGCAGAGACCCAGGCCCGGTCTTAAAGCCACCTGTTAGAGCAGAGACCCAGGCCCGGTCTTAAAGCCACCTGTTAGAGCAGAGACCCAGGCCCGGTCTTAAAGCCACCTGTTAGAGCAGAGACCCAGGCCCGGTCTTAAAGCCACCTGTTAGAGCAGAGACCCAGGCCCGGTCTTAAAGCCACCTGTTAGAGCAGAGACCCAGGCCCGGTCTTAAAGCCACCTGTTAGAGCAGAGACCCAGGCCCGGTCTTAAAGCCACCTGTTAGAGCAGAGACCCAAGCCCGGTCTTAAAGCCACCTGTTAGAGCAGAGATCCAGGCCCGGTCTTAAAGCCACCTGTTAGAGCAGAGACCCAGGCCCGGTCTTAAAGCCACCTGTTAGAGCAGAGACCCAAGCCCGGTCTTAAAGCCACCTGTTAGAGCAGAGACCCAAGCCCGGTCTTAAAGCCACCTGTTAGAGCAGAGACCCAGGCCCGGTCTTAAAGCCACCTGTTAGAGCAGAGACCCAGGCCCGGTCTTAAAGCCACCTGTTAGAGCAGAGACCCAAGCCCGGTCTTAAAGCCACCTGTTAGAGCAGAGATCCAGGCCCGGTCTTAAAGCCACCTGTTAGAGCAGAGACCCAGGCCCGGTCTTAAAGCCACCTGTTAGAGCAGAGACCCAAGCCCGGTCTTAAAGCCACCTGTTAGAGCAGAGACCCAAGCCCGGTCTTAAAGCCACCTGTTAGAGCAGAGACCCAGGCCCGGTCTTAAAGCCACCTGTTAGAGCAGAGACCCAGGCCCGGTCTTAAAGCCACCTGTTAGAGCAGAGACCCAAGCCCGGTCTTAAAGCCACCTGTTAGAGCAGAGATCCAGGCCCGGTCTTAAAGCCACCTGTTAGAGCAGAGACCCAGGCCCGGTCTTAAAGCCACCTGTTAGAGCAGAGACCCAAGCCCGGTCTTAAAGCCACCTGTTAGAGCAGAGACCCAAGCCCGGTCTTAAAGCCACCTGTTAGAGCAGAGACCCAGGCCCGGTCTTAAAGCCACCTGTTAGAGCAGAGACCCAGGCCCGGTCTTAAAGCCACCTGTTAGAGCAGAGACCCAGGCCCGGTCTTAAAGCCACCTGTTAGAGCAGAGACCCAGGCCTGGTCTTAAAGCCACCTGTTAGAGCAGAGACCCAGGCCCGGTCTAAAAGCCACCTGTTAGAGCAGAGACCCAGGCCCGGTCTTAAAGCCACCTGTTAGAGCAGAGACCCAGGCCCGGTCTTAAAGCCACCTGTTAGAGCAGAGACCCAGGCCCGGTCTTAAAGCCACCTGTTAGAGCAGAGACCCAGGCCTGGTCTTAAAGCCACCTGTTAGAGCAGAGACCCAGGCCCGGTTTTAAAGCCACCTGTTAGAGCAGAGACCCAGGCCCGGTTTTAAAGCCACCTGTTAGAGCAGAGACCCAGGCCCGGTCTTAAAGCCACCTGTTAGAGCAGAGACCCAAGCCCGGTCTTAAAGCCACCTGTTAGAGCAGAGATCCAGGCCCGGTCTTAAAGCCACCTGTTAGAGCAGAGACCCAGGCCCGGTCTTAAAGCCACCTGTTAGAGCAGAGACCCAGGCCCGGTCTTAAAGCCACCTGTTAGAGCAGAGACCCAGGCCTGGTCTTAAAGCCACCTGTTAGAGCAGAGACCCAGGCCCGGTCTTAAAGCCACCTGTTAGAGCAGAGACCCAGGCCCGGTTTTAAAGCCACCTGTTAGAGCAGAGACCCAGGCCCGGTTTTAAAGCCACCTGTTAGAGCAGAGACCCAAAGGAGATTCTCATAAAGACTTCTTTAGTCCCTTAGTGACTTCTTTAGTCCCTTAGTGACTTCTTTAGTCTCTTAGTGACTTCTTTAGTCCCTTAGTGACTTCTTTAGTCTCTTAGTGACTTCTTTAGTCCCTTAGTGACTTCTTTAGTCCCTTAGTGACTTCTTTAGTCCCTTAGTGACTTCTTTAGTCTCTTAGTGACTTCTTTAGTCCCTTAGTGACTTCTTTAGTCTCTTAGTGACTTCTTTAGTCCCTTAGTGACTTCTTTAGTCTCTTAGTGACTTCTTTAGTCCCTTAGTGACTTCTTTAGTCTCTTAGTGACTTCTTTAGTCCCTTAGTGACTTCTTTAGTCTCTTAGTGACTTCTTTAGTCTCTTAGTGACTTCTTTAGTCTCTTAGTGACTTCTTTAGTCCCTTAGTGACTTCTTTAGTCCCTGAGGACTAAATGTTTGTTACTTTGAAGTCTCCTCCATGTTTCAGCTTCTGTGCGAGCGACAAGACAGAAGTGGTGGAGGCCATGAAGGAGCAGAGCGTCCAGACCTCAGCACCTCCTCTCCTGAAGGAGCAGAGCGTCCAGACCTCAGCACCTCCTCTCCTGAAGGAGCAGAGCGTCCAGACCTCAGCACCTCCTCTCCTGAAGGAGCAGAGCGTCCAGACCTCAGCACCTCCTCTCCTGAAGGAGCAGAGCGTCCAGGCCACAGCACCTCCTCTCCTGAAGGAGCAGAGCGTCCAGACCACAGCACCTCCTCTCCTGAAGGAGCAGAGCGTCCAGGCCACAGCACCTCCTCTCCTGAAGGAGCAGAGCGTCCAGACCTCAGCACCTCCTCTACTGAAGGAGCAGAGCGTCCAGACCACAGCACCTCCTCTCCTGAAGGAGCAGAGCGTCCAGGCCACAGTGCAGACGGCGGAGGGAGAGGCCTGGGTCCTGGAGGGTCTGTTGGGGACCTCCTCTGAGGCCCAGAGAGAGATAGACACACTCCAGGACATGGTTAGGTTCCAGCAGGAGGCCATCAGTGCTTTGGAGGCGCAGGTCAAGGAGGTGCAAGGAGAGCTGGAGCACAGGTGAGGACAAAGATACTGAGGCTGTAGACCCAGGACTGAGGCCGTAGACCCAGGACTGAGGCCGTAGACCCAGGACTGAGGCCGTAGACCCAGGACTGAGGCCGTAGACCCAGGACTGAGACTGTAGACCCAGGACTGAGGCCGTAGACCCAGGACTGAGACTGTAGACCCAGGACTGAGGCCGTAGACCCAGGACTGAGACTGTAGACCCAGGACTGAGGCCGTAGACCCAGGACTGAGGCCGTAGACCCAGGACTGAGGCCGTAGACCCAGGACTGAGGCCGTAGACTCAGGACTGAGGCCGTAGACCCAGGACTGTGGCTGTAGACCCAGGACTGAGACTGTAGACCCAGGACTGAGGTCGTAGACCCAGGACTGAGGCTGTAGACCCAGGACTGAGGCCGTAGACCCAGGACTGAGGCTGTAGACCCAGGACTGAGACTAGACCCAGGACTGAGGCCGTAGACCCAGGACTGAGACTGTAGACCCAGGACTGAGACTGTAGACCCAGGACTGAGGCCGTAGACCCAGGACTGAGCCTGTAGTCCTGTTCTTTCAGACTGGAGATGGAGGAGAACTCGTCCAAAACCCCGAGCCACAAAAGTGTGGAGGTCAAACCAGAGACGGCGAGCGCAGAGACATGGACTCAGGAGAAGGAGGAGCAGAGGAGGTGTGTGGAGACACAGACACAGCAGGAGGAGGAGCAGAGGAGGTGTGTGGAGACACAGACACAGCAGGAGGAGAAGAGGGTGGTAAGCACGGGCTATCAGTGGGAGGAGCAGGAGACCAGGCCCCAGGACCAGGAGGAGAGAGGAGAGGAACCGGAGGAGGCGGAGGAGGAGAACCTCACACCAAAAACTGGTGAGAAAAATGTATGCTCTGTCTTTTGAATATAAATGGTCCTTTACATCTCTGGTCTCACTCTGGTCTCACTCTGGTCTCACTCTGGTCTCTCTCTGGTCTCTCTCTCTGGTCTCTCTCTGGTCTCACTCTGGTCTCACTCTGGTCTCTCTCTGGTCTCTCTCTCTGGTCTCTCTCTGGTCTCTCTCTGGTCTCTCTCTGGTCTCTCTCTGGTCTCACTCTGGTCTCTCTCTGGTCTCTCTCTGGTCTCTCTCTCTGGTCTCTCTCTGGTCTCTCTCTGGTCTCTCTCTGGTCTCTCTCTGGTCTCACTCTGGTCTCACTCTGGTCTCTCTCTGGTCTCTCTCTCTGGTCTCTCTCTGGTCTCTCTCTGGTCTCTCTCTCTGGTCTCTCTCTGGTCTCTCTCCTGGTCTCACTCTGGTCTCTCTCTTTGGTCTCTCTCTGGTCTCTCTCTGGTCTCTCTCTCTGGTCTCTCTCTGGTCTCTCTCTGGTCTCACTCTGGTCTCTCTCTGGTCTCTCTCTGGTCTCTCTCCTGGTCTCTCTCTGGTCTCTCTTTGGTCTCTCTCTCTCCCTGGTCTCTCTCTGGTCTCTCTCTGGTCTCTCTCTGGTCTCTCTTTGGTCTCTCTCTCCCTGGTCTCACTCTGGTCTCACTCTGGTCTCACTCTGGTCTCTCTCTGGTCTCTCTCTCTGGTCTCTCTCCTGGTCTCTCTCGGGTCTCTCTCTGGTCTCTCTCTGGTCTCTCTCTGGTCTCTCTCTGGTCTCTCTCTCTGGTCTCTCTCTTTGGTCTCTCTCTCCCTGGTCTCACTCTGGTCTCTCTCTGGTCTCTCTCTCTGGTCTCTCTCCTGGTCTCTCTCTGGTCTCTCTCTGGTCTCACTCTGGTCTCTCTCTGGTCTCTCTCCTGGTCCCTCTCTGGTCTCTCTCTGGTCTCTCTTTGGTCTCTCTCTCCCTGGTCTCACTCTGGTCTCTCTCTGGTCTCACTTTGGTCTCCCTCTGGTCTCTCTCTGGTCTCTCTCTGGTCTCACTCTGGTCTCTCTCTGGTCTCTCTCTCTGGTCTCTCTCTTTGGTCTCTCTCTCCCTGGTCTCACTCTGGTCTCTCTCTCTGGTCTCTCTCCTGGTCTCTCTCTGGTCTCTCTCTGGTCTCACTCTGGTCTCTCTCTGGTCTCTCTCCTGGTCCCTCTCTGGTCTCTCTCTGGTCTCTCTTTGGTCTCTCTCTCCCTGGTCTCACTCTGGTCTCTCTCTGGTCTCCCTCTGGTCTCTCTCTGGTCTCACTCTGGTCTCTCTCTGGTCTCACTCTGGTCTCCCTCTGGTCTCTCTCTGGTCTCCCTCTGGTCTCTCTCTGGTCTCACTCTGGTCTCTCTCTGGTCTCACTCTGGTCTCCCTCTGGTCTCTCTCTGGTCTCACTCTGGTCTCTCTCTGGTCTCTCTCTGGTCTCTCTCTGGTCTCACTCTGGTCTCTCTCTGGTCTCTCTCTCCCTCTGGTCTCTCTCTCTCTCTGGTCTCTCTTTGGTCTCTCTCTCCCTGGTCTCACTCTGGTCTCTCTCTGGTCTCACTCTGGTCTCCCTCTGGTCTCTCTCTGGTCTCACTCTGGTCTCTCTCTGGTCTCACTCTGGTCTCCCTCTGGTCTCACTCTGGTCTCTCTCTGGTCTCTCTCTGGTCTCTCTCTGGTCTCCCTCTGGTCTCACTCTGGTCTCTCTCTGGTCTCCCTCTGGTCTCTCTCTGGTCTCAGGTTTACTCAAGTCCATAATGAAGAGGAGCGATGGTCTCAGCTCAGGGGACCGCAGCAGCAGCAAAAAGAGCCTGCAGTTTGTGGGAATCCTGAACGGAGGGTAGGAACACACACATACACACACACACAGACACACACACACAGACACACACACACACACACAGTTTCAGACATTCCATTTTCTTCCGCTTCATCCGTTGCCGGGTCGCGGGGGCAGCAGTCTAAGCAGAGACGCCCAGACTTCCCTCTCACACACTTCCTCCAGCTCGTCCGACCCCAAGGCGTTCCCAGGCCAGCTGAGAGACATAGTCCCTCCAGCGTGTCCTGGGTCTTCCCCGGGGCCTCCTCCCGGTGGGACGTGCCCGGAACACCTCCCCAGGGAGGCGTCCAGGAGGCATCCTGAACAGATGCCCGAGCCACCTCAACTGGTTCCTCTCGACGTGGAGAAGCAGCGGCTCTACTCCGAGCTCCTCCCGTGTGACTGAGCTCCTCACCCTATCTCTAAGGGAGCAGCGGCTCTACTCCGAGCTCCTCCCGTGTGACCGAGCTCCTCACCCTATCTCTAAGGGAGCAGCCACTCTGCGGAGGAAGCTCATTTCGACCGCTTGTATCCGCGATCTCGTTCTTTCGGTCATTACCCAAAGCTCATGACCATAGGTGAGGGAGCTCTGACTGCAAACGCTGCTCCCTCTTTACCACAACGGTCCGATACAGCTCTGACTGCAGACGCTGCTCCCTCTTTACCACAACGGTCCGACACAGCGACCGCATCACTGCGCACGCTGCACTGATCCACCTGTCAATCTCACGCTCCATCCTCCCCTCACTCGTGAACAAGACCCCGAGATACTTGAACTCCTCCACTTGAGGAAGGACCTCTCCACCCACCTGTAGAGGGCAAGGCACCTTTTTCCGGTCGAGCACCATGGCCTCAGATTTGGAGGTGCTGATTCTCATCCCAGCCGCTTCACACTCGGCTGCAAACCGTCCCAGTGCATGCTGCAGGTCCTGGTTCGTTGGAGCCAACAGGACGACATCGTCCGCAAACAGCAGAGATGAAATCCTGTGGTCTCTGAACCGGACCCCCTCCGGCCCCTGGCTGCGCCTAGAAATTCTGTCCATGAATACAGTGAACAGAACTGGTGACAAAGGGCAGCCCTGCCGGAGGCCAACATTCACCGGGAACAGGTCTGACTTACTGCTGATGAACACAGCTCTGGCTCCGGTCATACAGGGACCGGACGGCCCTCAGCAGAGGACCCCGGACCCCGTACTCCCGGAGAGTACCCCCCAAAGGACACCCCGGGGAACACGGTCGAACGCCTTCTCCAAATCCACAAAGCACATGTGGACAGGTTGGGCAAACTCCCATGAACCCTCGAGTATCCGATGGAGAGTATAGAGCTGGTCCAGTGTTCCGCGACCGGGACGAAAACCACACTGCACCTCCTGAATCCGAGATTCGACCATCGGCTGTAGCCTCCTCTCCAGTACCTTGGAGTAGACCTTACCGGGGAGGCTGAGGAGTGTGATCCCACGATAATTGGAACACACCCTCCGGTCCCCCTTCTTGTAGAGAGGGACCACCACCCCGGTCTGCCACTCCATTGGCACCGCCCCCGATCGCCACGCGATGTTGCAGAGACGTGTCAGCCAAGACAGTCCTACAACATCCAGAGACTTTAGATAGTCAGGACGGATCTCATCCACTCCCGGCGCCTTGCCACCATGGAGGCTACCAACCACCTTGGTGACCTCTGCCAGGGAGATGGAAGTATCCGCCCCAACATCCTCAGCCTCTGCCCCCGGGGCGGAGGACGTGACGGGGGGATTGAGGAGAACCTCGAAGTATTCCTTCCACCGTCCGACAATATCCCCAGTCGAGGTCAGCCGGTACTGGACAGCTGCCTCAGGAGTCCCACGAACCATCATGGCTCGATAGGACTCCTTCTACAGTCTGACGGCATCCCTTACTGCCGGTGTCCACCACCGGGTTCCGGGATTGCCGCCGGGACCAGCCCCAGAGACCGTACGACCACAGCTACGAGTCGCTGCATCGGTGATAGAGGAAGAGAACATGGTCCACTCAGACTCCATGTCCCCCTCCTCCGCCGGGACCTGGGAGAAACTCTCCCGGAGGTGTGAGTTGAAAGTCCGTCTGACAGGGGGCTCAGCGAGACGTTCCCATCAAACCCTCACTACACGCTTGGGTCTGCCAGGTCTGACCGGCTTCTTCCCCTGCCAGCGGATCCAACTCACAACCAGGTGATGATCGGTTGACAGCTCCGCCCCTCTCTTTACCCGAGTGTCTGAGACACGAGGTCGAAGGTCAGATGATACGACAACAAAGTCAATCATCGACCTTCGGCCTAGGGTGTCCTGGCGCCCCCTGGTGGACACCCTTGTGCTGGAACATGGTGTTCGTGATGGACAAACCGTGACTGGCACAGAAGTCCAACAACTGAACACCGCTCGGGTTCAGATCAGGGGGGCCGCTCTTCCCGATCACCCCTCTCCAAGTGTCACTGGCGTCCCCCACATGGGCGTTGAAGTCCCCCAGGAGAATAACGGAGTCCCCGGGCGGTGCACTGTCCAGTACCCCTCCCAAGGACTCCAAGAAGGCCGAGTACTCTGCACTGCTGTTAGGCCCGTAGGCCGTCACAACAATGAGAGACTTGTCCCACACCCGGAGGCGGAGGGACGCGACCCTCTCATTCACCGGGGAGAACTCCAACACGTGGCGGCTGAGATGGGGGGCAATGAGTATGGCCACCCCAGCTCGCCGCCTCTCCCCGCAGGAAACACCAGAAAAGTGGAGCGTCCAACCCCTCTCAAGGAGTTGGGTTCAGAGCCCAAGCTGTGTGTGGCGGTGAGACCGACTATCTCTAGTCGGTATCTCTCAACCTCCCCCACAAGCTCGGGCTCCTTCCCCCCCAGTGAGGTGACGTCCCATGTCCCAAGAGCCAGATGTTGGGTGTGTGGACTGGGTCGCCGAGGTCTCCGCCTTCGACCGCTGCCCAGTCCTCTCTGCACCGCTTCGCCACACGGACCCCTCTGCAGGTGGTGGGCCCACAGGTGGGACTGCCCACGTCATCCCTTCGGGCTGAGCCCGGCCGGGCCCCGTGGGCTAAGGCCCGGCCACCAGGCGCTCGCATACGAGCCCCGACCCCAGGCCTGGCTCCAGAGTGGGGCCCCGGCTGCGCCATGCCGGGCGACGTCACTGTTGTCATATTCGTCATATTCATGCTGTCATGTTTCAGCCATAAACGTGAAAATCAAAACAATAAGAAAAAATCAGTGGGTCTCTGCTCTAACAGGTGGCTTTAAGACCGGGCCTGGGTGGCTGAGTCCATGGGAGGTGATGAGGAGGTCCATGGGAGGTGATGGGGGTCTAGGGGAGGTGATGAGGAGGTCCATGGGAGGTGATGAGGAGGTCCAAGGGAGGTGATGGGGGTCCATGGGAGGTGATGAGGAGGTCCATGGGAGGTGATGGGGGTCTAGGGGAGGTGATGAGGAGGTCCATGGGAGGTGATGGGGGTCTAGGGGAGGTGATGAGGCCTGTCTGCTGTAGCTGAAGCGCCGATGTGGGCTTCAGAGGAGTTCCCATCACAGGAGGCGTCACTGAGTGAAAGTCTGTGCTGTGTCAGATATGAGTCGACATCGAGTGAAGAGGAGGAGCAGGAGGAGCAGGAGGAGCAGGAGGAGCAGGAGGAGGACAGCGAGGACAGTGAGGACAGTGCAGACCCTGATGCAGACAGCTCAGAGGACGAGGAGGCTCTGGATGTGGAGACGTCAGAGGAGGAGAAGAACATCAGCCTGGACGACAGCGACTCAGACGAGGAGGTGCTGTCTGCGGCCGACTACAGTGGGAAGTATGTAAGACCCAGGACTGAGGCTGTAGACCCAGGACTGAGGCTGGAGACCCAGGACTGAGGCTGGAGACCCAGGACTGAGGCTGTAGACTGAGGGCTGTAGACCCAGGACTGAGGCTGGAGACCCAGGACTGAGGCTGTGGACCCAGGACTGAGGCCGTAGACCCAGGACTGAGGCCGTAGACCCAGGACTGAGGCCGTAGACCCAGGACTGAGGCTGTAGACTGAGGCTGGAGACCCAGGACTGAGGGCTGTAGACCCAGGACTGAGGCTGGAGACCCAGGACTGAGGCTGGAGACCCAGGACTGAGGCTGTAGACTGAGGGCTGTAGACCCAGGACTGAGGCTGGAGACCCAGGACTGAGGCTGTGGACCCAGGACTGAGGCCGTAGACCCAGGACTGAGGCCGTAGACCCAGGACTGAGGCCGTAGACCCAGGACTGAGGCTGTAGACTGAGGCTGGAGACCCAGGACTGAGGGCTGTAGACCCAGGACTGAGGCTGGAGACCCAGGACTGAGGCTGTGGACCCAGGACTGAGGCTGTAGACCCAGGACTGAGGCCGTAGACCCAGGACTGAGGCTGTAGACTGAGGCTGGAGACCCAGGACTGAGGCTGGAGACCCAGGACTGAGGCTGTGGACCCAGGACTGAGGCTGTAGACCCAGGACTGAGGCCGTAGACCCAGGACTGAGGCTGGAGACCCAGGACTGAGGCCGTAGACCCAGGACTGAGGCTGGAGACCCAGGACTGAGGCTGTGGACCCAGGACTGAGGCTGTAGACCCAGGACTGAGGCTGTAGACCCAGGACTGAGGCTGTAGACTGAGGCTGGAGACCCAGGACTGAGGGCTGTAGACCCAGGACTGAGGCTGGAGACCCAGGACTGAGGCTGTGGACCCAGGACTGAGGCTGTAGACCCAGGACTGAGGCCGTAGACCCAGGACTGAGGCTGGAGACCCAGGACTGAGGCTGGAGACCCAGGACTGAGGCTGGAGACCCAGGACTGAGGCTGTAGACCCAGGACTGAGGCCGTAGACCCAGGACTGAGGCTGGAGACCCAGGACTGAGGCTGGAGACCCAGGACTGAGGCTGGAGACCCAGGACTGAGGCTGGAGACCCAGGACTGAGGCTGTAGACCCAGGACTGAGGCCGTAGACCCAGGACTGAGGCTGGAGACCCAGGACTGAGGCTGGAGACCCAGGACTGAGGCTGGAGACCCAGGACTGAGGCTGTAGACCCAGGACTGAGGCCATGTTAGTTTTTGTCCTGAACATTATGATTGTGTTTTTGGAGGTTTGAACTGAGCTCAAAGATTCGCGACGCCTGCATCGTCCTGAAGAACCATCTGAACGACCCTGAGACCGCCAAGAGCAAGGAAGTGGTGAGAGAGAGACCAGAGGGAGACCAGAGGGAGACCAGAGAGAGAGACCAGAGAGAGACCAGAGAGAGACCAGAGAGAGACCAGAGAGAGACCGGAGAGAGAGACCAGAGAGAGACCAGAGAGAGAGACCAGAGAGAGACCAGAGAGAGAGACCAGAGGGAGACCAGAGAGAGAGACCAGAGAGAGACCAGAGAGAGAGACCAGAGAGAGACCAGAGAGAGAGACCAGAGGGAGAGACCAGAGTGAGACCAGAGTGAGACCAGAGTGAGAGACCAGAGTGAGACCAGAGTGAGAGACCAGAGTGAGACCAGAGTGAGAGACCAGAGAGAGACCAGAGTGAGAGACCAGAGAGAGACCAGAGTGAGAGACCAGAGAGAGACCAGAGTGAGAGACCAGAGCACCTGTGTAACTGTGACTCTGGTCCACAGCTCTCCTCCTCCCACATGGTCCAGGTGGAGTGGTTCCGAGTGTCCAGTGGGAAGGCGGCGGTGTCTGCGCGAGTCTCGGATTATCTCGTGTGTTTCTCTGAGATCTCGTCCACTCTGCTGCAGCACGTGGTCAACATGAGGGACGGGAACGGGAACACCGCTCTGCACTACAGCGTCTCCCACTCCAACTTCAGAGTCGTAGATCTGCTACTGGATACTGGTACAGAGACCAGAGGGAGACCAGAGGGAGACCAGAGGGAGACCAGAGAGAGACCAGAGAGAGACCAGAGGGAGACCAGAGAGACCAGAGAGAGACCAGAGAGAGAGACCAGAGAGAGACCAGAGAGAGAGACCAGAGAGAGAGACCAGAGAGAGACCAGAGAGACCAGAGAGAGAGACCAGAGAGAGAGACCAGAGAGAGAGACCAGAGAGAGACCAGAGAGAGACCAGAGAGAGAGACCAGAGAGAGAGACCAGAGAGAGAGACCAGAGAGAGAGAAGAGAGAGACCAGAGAGAGACCAGAGAGAGAGACCAGAGAGAGACCAGAGAGAGACCAGAGAGAGACCAGAGAGAGAGACCAGAGAGAGACCAGAGAGAGAGACCAGAGAGAGAGACCAGAGAGAGACCAGAGAGACCAGAGAGAGAGACCAGAGAGAGAGACCAGAGAGAGAGACCAGAGAGAGACCAGAGAGAGACCAGAGAGAGAGACCAGAGAGAGAGACCAGAGAGAGAGACCAGAGAGAGAGACAGAGAGAGACCAGAGAGAGACCAGAGAGAGAGACCAGAGAGAGACCAGAGAGAGACCAGAGAGAGACCAGAGAGAGAGACCAGAGAGAGACCAGAGAGAGAGACCAGAGAGAGAGACCAGAGAGAGACCAGAGAGAGACCAGAGAGAGAGACCAGAGAGAGAGACCAGAGAGAGACCAGAGAGAGAGACCAGAGAGAGACTAGAGAGAGACCAGAGAGAGAGACAGAGAGAGGACCAGAGAGACACCAGAGAGACACCAGAGAGAGACCAGAGAGAGACCAGAGAGAGACCAGAGAGAGAGACCAGAGAGAGAGACCAGAGAGAGACCAGAGAGAGACCAGAGAGAGACCAGAGAGAGACCAGAGAGAGAGACCAGAAAGAGACCAGAGAGAGACCAGAGAGAGAGACCAGAGGGAGACCAGAGAGAGAGACCAGAGGGAGACCAGAGAGAGAGACCAGAGAGAGAGACCAGAGAGAGACCAGAAAAGCCAATCCGCTCTCAGTATGTTGTAGTCTGTTAGAGGCAGCTGAAGAGTCTGTGCTATACAGATAAATGTGCGGTGCGTCCTCAGGGCTGTGCTGTGTGGATGAGCAGAACACGGCGGGCTACACAGCCATCATGCTAGCAGCTCTGTCCACCGTGAAGGAGGAGCAGGACATGATGGTGGTGCAGAAGCTCTTCAGTCAGGGCAACGTCAACGCCAAGGCCAGCCAGGTGATGTCACATAACACACAGTGTATGAGACTGGACTGAGTGTGATGTCACATGTTAGCATTGTCCATCTGTATACAGTCTGTGTTAGCATTAGCATCTGTATACAGTCTGTGTTAGCATCGTCCATCTGTATAGGCAAGGCAAGTTTATTTGTATAGCACAATTCATACACAAGGCAACTCAAAGTGCTGAACAAAACAAGAAAGCATTAAAATCATAAATAATCACAGAACATTAAGAAGAAAGATAAAACCATAAAGCAGGAGTCCAGTCCCTGTGCTCCTCAGAGTCCCAGCAGGAGGCCGGTCCCTGTGCTCCTCAGAGTCCCAGCAGGAGTCCAGTCCCTGTGCTCCTCAGAGTCCCAGCAGGAGTCCAGTCCCTGTGCTCCTCAGAGTCCCAGCAGGAGTCCAGTCCCTGTGCTCCTCAGAGTCCCAGCAGGAGTCCAGTCCCTGTGCTCCTCAGAGTCCCAGCAGGAGGCCAGTCCCTGTGCTCCTCAGAGTCCCAGCAGGAGTCCAGTCCCTGTGCTCCTCAGAGTCCCAGCAGGAGTCCAGTCCCTGTGCTCCTCAGAGTCCCAGCAGGAGTCCAGTCCCTGTGCTCCTCAGAGTCCCAGCAGGAGTCCAGTCCCTGTGCTCCTCAGAGTCCCAGCAGGAGGCCAGTCCCTGTGCTCCTCAGAGTCCCAGCAGGAGGCCAGTCCCTGTGCTCCTCAGAGTCCCAGCAGGAGTCCAGTCCCTGTGCTCCTCAGAGTCCCAGCAGGAGTCCAGTCCCTGTGCTCCTCAGAGTCCCAGCAGGAGTCCAGTCCCTGTGCTCCTCAGAGTCCCAGCAGGAGTCCAGTCCCTGTGCTCCTCAGAGTCCCAGCAGGAGTCCAGTCCCTGTGCTCCTCAGAGTCCGGGCTGGTTCATATGGGACTAACATGTCACTAATATATTTTGGTGCGAGGCCATGGAGAGACTTGTAACAAGCAGAGCTGTTTTAAAGTCTATTCTCTGACCCACAGGAAGCCAGTGCAGAGACCTGAGGACTGGACTAATGTGGTCGTACTTCCTGGTTCTAGTCAGGACTAATGTGGTCGTACTTCCTGGTTCTAGTCAGGACTAATGTGGTCGTACTTCCTGGTTCTAGTCAGGACTAATGTGGTTGTACTTCCTGGTTCTAGTCAGGACTAATGTGGTCGTACTTCCTGGTTCTAGTCAGGACTAATGTGGTCGTACTTCCTGGTTCTAGTCAGGACTAAATGTGGTCGTACTTCCTGGTTCTAGTCAGGACTAATGTGGTCGTACTTCCTGGTTCTAGTCAGGACTAATGTGGTCGTACTTCCTGGTTCTAGTCAGGACTAATGTGGTCGTACTTCCTGGTTCTAGTCAGGACTAATGTGGTCGTACTTCCTGGTTCTAGTCAGGACTAATGTGGTCGTACTTCCTGGTTCTAGTCAGGACTAATGTGGTCGTACTTCCTGGTTCTAGTCAGGACTAATATGGTCGTACTTCCTGGTTCTAGTCAGGACTAATGTGGTCGTACTTCCTGGTTCTAGTCAGGACTAATGTGGTCGTACTTCCTGGTTCTAGTCAGGACTAATGTGGTCGTACTTCCTGGTTCTAGTCAGGACTAATGTGGTCGTACTTCCTGGTTCTAGTCAGGACTAATGTGGTCGTACTAAGCGCTTTTCATACAAAAAGTGTAACACAAAGTGCTTTACAGTTTAGTTAAAAACAATCCAACATGCCCAGCCCTAAACCCTCCTCCCCACAGACCCCCCAAAACCACATTTATAATTATATATACAATACACACACCCACACACACACACACGCACACACACACACACACACACACACACACATATACACAAGTATAAAGTCATATCAGGTAAAATAGGTAAAACAATAAAAAGAAATGGGGCTGGGAGCAGATGTAACCGGCTGAAGAAGCGTCATCCAGGGAGCCATCTGCACCAGGAGCAGAGAGCCGGCTGCAGCCACAGGGAACGACACAGGACCCAGAGGAGAGAGGGGCCCCAGACCCCACCAGGCCCAGGACTCAGACCCCATAGGACCCAGAGGAGAGAGGGGCCCCAGACCCCACCAGGCCCAGGACTCAGACCCCATAGGACCCAGAGGAGAGAGGAGGCCCCAGACCCCACCAGGCCCAGGACTCAGACCCCATAGGACCCAGAGGAGAGAGGAGGCCCCAGACCCCCACCGGATCCAAGAGCCAGTCCCCCGAAGCCACAGCAGACCCCAGCTCTCAGTGCAGAGGGCTATGGACCAATACATGTGTGTATGTTCTGTGTTTTAACTGTTGATTCTCTGATCTGTTGTAGCCTGGTCTTACCACACCATGGTACTCATTTCATTTGTACTAAGGTCTGGAGGTGCTCCATTGACTCCGTTAACAGGTGGGAGGGGCTAACTCCTTTTGCAGATTGAACAGATCTGAGTTTACTGTGACGTATGTAATGCACCCGAGTCTGTTGTTAGCATTTAGCCTAGCTTTAGCCATCTCTTTTGCCGCTAACGGAGCCCGTGGTGAGTAGCGCCATAGTTTTTTCCAGCGATTACATTTGTTAAACATTCTTCTTGCTCCGGCTTCAGTTTCTTGATAGAACCAGACCAGATTACTTTACTATCGCATTCTTTGCCAAACTACAACCTGCCCGTTCGACGCAAACTCTTGACGTCACCCACATCTAACTACAACACCCGCCTCCCGCGCTCTCTGATTGGTTGGTCGAAATTCAACCGATTGTATTCGCTAACGTGGGGACTAGACCCAGACGTTACAGGCAGGAAGTGATGATGGACTGGAGAGTTCGGATGGATAAGGCCGGGCTAGATCTGTGTTGGTGATTTCAATGGTTTTGTTAAGTCTCTGAGATGATGCTGTTGTGATTTAGGGAAATACAAGAATACATTGTTGTTGTTGTAGAATGTATAGGACTCAGATCTAATGTTAATAATAAAAAGATAAACTATTACTAAAGAATAAAAATGAAATAACGGGATGTTTTGTGCTGCTTTTGTGACCTGTGTGTGTGTGTGTGTGTGTGTGTGTGTGTGTGTGTGTGTGTGTGAGACCCCTGCCTCACTCACTGGTTCAGCCCGTCCCTGCACCTCCCCCCATTCTGGCACGGCTCGTCCCGGCACTCATCGGTGTTTGTTTGGCAGCGGTCACCGTGGAAACCCGGCAAGCAGGTGCATCTGAAGCCGTCCGCGTCGTCACGGCAACGGGCGCCATTGAGACAGGGCCCTGAGTGACACGAGCCCAGGTCGAGCTCGCACCGGCGTCCTGCGAGATCAAAGGGACAGAGGATTTCATCAGCCACTTCTGATCCCGAGGGTCAGACGCTGCTCCTTCTGATCCCGAGGGTCAGACGCTGCTCCTTCTGATCCCAAAGAGTAACACTTCAAAAAACACCTTCTGAAGCTTTTTGAAATAATCTCAGTTTTGTAGAAAAACAAGTAAAAAATCAACGACCTCAAAGAGTAAAACTGACTCTACTCTACTCTACTCTAATGTACTCTATACTCTACTCTACTCTAATGTACTCTACTGTACTGCACTCTACTGTACTGTACTCTATACTCTACTCTACTCTACTCTACTGTACTCTATACTCTACTCTAATGTACTCTACTGTACTGTACTCTACTGTACTGTACTCTATACTCTACTCTATACTCTACTCTACTCTAATGTACTCTACTGTACTGTATTCTACTGTACTGTACTCTACTGTACTCTACTCTACTGTACTCTACTCTACTCTATACTCTACTCTACTGTACTCTATACTCTACTCTACTCTACTCTAATGTACTGTACTGTACTCTACTGTACTGTACTCTATACTCTACTCTATACTCTACTCTACTGTACTCTACTGTACTCTATACTCTACTCTACTGTACTCTATACTCTACTCTATACTCTACTCTACTGTACTCTACTCTACAGTAATCTACTCTACTCTACTGTACTCTACTTTAATATAATCTACTATACTCTACTCTTCTGTACTCTACTCTACTGTACTCTACTCTACAGTAATCTACTCTACTCTACAGTACTCTACATTAATATAATCTACTCTACTCTACTCTACTGTACTCTACTGTACTCTACTCTACTCTACTCTACTCTACTCTACTCTACAGTACTCTACTCTAATATAATCTACTATACTCTACTCTACTGTAGTCTACTCTACTCTACTGTACTCTACTCTACTGTACTCTACTCTACAGTACTCTACTCTAATGTAATCTACTCTACTCTACTCTACTCTACTGTACTCTACTCTACTCTACTGTACTCTACTCTACTCTACTCTAATATAATCTACTATACTCTACTCTACTCTACTCGTCTGTACTCTACTCTACTAACATAATAACCGGATGTGAAACAATCCGTCCTGTTACCGGTGAATCCAGGCGCGCACAGACAGTCGAAGGCGCCCACGCGGTCCACGCACGTGCCTCGGTTCCCGCAGGGCTGTGACGCGCACTCGTTCACGTTGATCTGGCAGCGCGCGCCCTGGAACCCGGGGACGCAGAAGCACGCGTACCCGTCCGCGCGCACACGGCACAGCGCGCGGTTCTGGCACGGGTTTGGAGAGCACCGATCCAACACACCTGCGGGAAACACGGGAATGATGTCACAGACGCCATGTTGGAGACAGAGAGAGACAGAGGCAGAGACAGAGGCAGAGAGACAGAGGCAGAGACAGAGGCAGAGACAGAGACAGAGACAGAGGCAGAGACAGAGACAGAGGCAGAGACAGAGACAGAGACAGAGGCAGAGAGACAGAGACAGAGACAGAGGCAGAGACAGAGACAGAGAGACAGAGGCAGAGACAGAGACAGAGACAGAGGCAGAGACAGAGACAGAGACAGAGACAGAGACAGAGGCAGAGACAGAGACAGAGGCAGAGACAGAGACAGAGGCAGAGACAGAGACAGAGAGACAGAGGCAGAGGCAGAGACAGAGACAGAGAGACAGAGACAGAGACAGAGACAGAGGCAGAGACAGAGGCAGAGAGACAGAGGCAGAGACAGAGACAGAGGCAGAGACAGAGACAGAGAGACAGAGGCAGAGACAGAGACAGAGAGACAGAGACAGAGAGACAGAGGCAGAGACAGAGACAGAGGCAGAGACAGAGGCAGAGAGACAGAGACAGAGGCAGAGACAGAGGCAGAGAGACAGAGACAGAGGCAGAGACAGAGACAGAGAAAGAGGCAGAGACAGACGCAGAGACAGAGACAGAGACAGAGGCAGAGACAGAGGCAGAGACAGAGGCAGAGACAGAGACAGAGACAGAGACAGAGACAGAGACAGAGGCAGAGGCAGAGACAGAGGCAGAGAGACAGAGGCAGAGACAGAGACAGAGGCAGAGACAGAGACAGAGAAAGAGGCAGAGGCAGAGACAGAGACAGAGGCAGAGAGACAGAGACAGAGGCAGAGACAGAGACAGAGAAAGAGGCAGAGGCAGAGACAGAGGCAGAGAGACAGAGGCAGAGACAGAGACAGAGGCAGAGACAGAGACAGAGGCAGAGAGACAGAGGCAGAGACAGAGAAAGAGGCAGAGACAGACGCAGAGACAGAGGCAGAGAGACAGAGACAGAGGCAGAGACAGAGACAGAGGCAGAGACAGAGACAGAGGCAGAGGCAGAGACAGAGACAGAGGCAGAGACAGAGACAGAGACAGAGACAGAGACAGAGGCAGAGACAGAGGCAGAGAGACAGAGGCAGAGACAGAGACAGAGACAGAGGCAGAGAGACAGAGGCAGAGACAGAGACAGAGAAAGAGGCAGAGGCAGAGACAGAGGCAGAGAGGCAGAGACAGAGACAGAGAAAGAGGCAGAGACAGAGACAGAGGCAGAGAGACAGAGGCAGAGACAGAGAAAGAGGCAGAGACAGACGCAGAGACAGAGGCAGAGAGACAGAGACAGAGGCAGAGACAGAGACAGAGGCAGAGACAGAGACAGAGACAGAGGCAGAGACAGAGGCAGAGACAGAGGCAGAGACAGAGACAGAGGCAGAGACAGAGACAGAGGCAGAGGCAGAGACAGAGACAGAGGCAGAGACAGAGACAGAGACAGAGGCAGAGACAGAGACAGAGGCAGAGACAGAGGCAGAGAGACAGAGGCAGAGACAGAGACAGAGACAGAGATAGAGACAGAGGCAGAGACAGAGGCAGAGACAGACGCAGAGACAGAGACAGAGGCAGAGAGACAGAGGCAGAGACAGAGACAGAGGCAGAGACAGAGACAGAGGCAGAGACAGAGGCAGAGACAGAGACAGAGGCAGAGAGACAGAGGCAGAGACAGAGACAGAGGCAGAGACAGAGACAGAGGCAGAGACAGAGGCAGAGACAGAGGCAGAGAGACAGAGGCAGAGACAGAGGCAGAGAGACAGAGGCAGAGACAGAGACAGAGGCAGAGACAGAGGCAGAGACAGAGACAGAGACAGACGCAGAGACAGAGACAGACGCAGAGACAGAGGCAGAGACAGACGCAGAGACAGAGACAGAGGCAGAGACAGAGACAGAGACAGACGCAGAGACAGAGACAGAGGCAGAGACAGAGGCAGAGAGACAGAGGCAGAGACAGAGACAGAGATAGAGGCAGAGACAGAGACAGAGACAGAGGCAGAGAGACAGAGGCAGAGACAGAGACAGAGGCAGAGACAGAGACAGAGGCAGAGACAGAGACAGTGGTAGAGACAGAGGCAGAGACAGAGACAGAGTCAGAGACAGAGTCAGAGGCAGAGACAGAGCCAGAGGTAGAGACAGAGACAGACGCAGAAACAGAGACAGACACAGAGAAAGACGCAGAGACAGACGCAGAGACAGAGACAGACGCAGAGACAGACGCAGAGACAGAGACAGTGGCAGAGACAGAGCCAGAGGTAGAGACAGAGACAGACGCAGAGAATGAGACAGAGACAGACACAGAGGCAGAGACAGAGAAAGACGCAGAGACAGAAACAGACGCAGAGACAGAGACAGAGGCAGAGACAGAGACAGACGCAGAGACAGTGGCAGAGACAGAGGCAGAGACAGAGGCAGAGAGACAGAGGCAGAGACAGACAGAGACAGAGACAGAGGCAGAGGTAGAGACAGAGGCAGAGGCAGAGACAGAGACAGAGGCAGAGAGACAGAGGCAGAGACAGAGACAGAGGCAGAGACAGAGAAAGAGGGCAGAGACAGAGACAGAGGCAGAGACAGCGTTAAGGCTGAAATCTGGATTTACAAAGACTATTATCAGATAAAAACACCAGGACGAAGAGGACGCTAAACCATGGATTTTTAAAGCCTAAAATGCTGAGTGACAAAAATGCTAAGTTAAGAATTTAGGAGCTTGGCTTCATTAAGCTAGGTTAACTTTGTCCTGTGGACAGTCAATGGATATTCAGAGATTAAACATTTATACTTTTGATAAAAGCGCTCAGTCATTTATCAACGTTAAGTTAAAAAACATTAGCAGCAACTTTTGGCAAATCTAGCAGTTTGATGAATGAGCGCAGTTATGAAGAGGTCAAGAACCAATCAGCTCGTGTGTCGTGTGAGCTCCTGTACCTTTCTGGATGTTGTAGTCTGACAGAGTGCGTCCGTCCTCCAGCTGTTTCCCGGCGAAGATCAGACGCTGCTGATCCGGAGGAATCCCTGCACAAGACACGGGTCAGAACCAGGACCAGGTACACGGGGACACCTCAACCATGGTCCTTGAAGCTCAGTTTTAACTTCGTTTCCATAGAATCATGCAGAACATTTACCAAACAGTGTATTGAATATTTTCAAATTGAGGTTAGACCCAGGACAGACCGCCCTAAGACCGCAATCTCTAAGATTAAAATTATCTGTTTCTGAATAATGTCCACTCTGCTGGTGGCGTCCTAGTCGTGGAGATCAGCAGAGACCTCACTCTCCTCCAGACTCACCCTCTTTGTCCTGGATCTTGGCCTTCACATTCTCGATGGTGTCGCTGGGCTCCACCTCGAGGGTGATGGTTTTCCCCGTCAACGTCTTCACAAAAATCTGCATTTTCACAGCTGTGGAAACATCAGATCAGTCTCCAGATTAAAGCTGCGTTCACAAACCGCCATAGCACCAGGTTTCAGCCACGTCTGTTTGGAAACCGACTCCCACTGATGACTGCTGTCGTTGTGTCCTTGGGCAAGACACTTAACCCCACTTTGCCCAAAGCTCCCACTGAAAGATCAAGGCTATGCTCACACTCAGAGAGCAGCCGTCCTCCTGTGGACTCACCACCTGCAGAGGGTCAGTGAGGGGCTGGTGCTGTGAGACTTGGGTGGCATCTCTGACTGCCACCCCCCTGACCCAGAAATGGATTAAAGGGAAGAAAATGGATGGATGGCTGTTTGGAAACTAGTGGTGGGTGCTGGTAACAAGCTTAAGACAGCAGCACCATGAACGTATGATATTAATGACCAGTAATTCTGTATTAGCAGCACTTGTCCAGTCACAGGAGAAAACTCCCTGGAGGCAAATGTTCAAAAGCTCAGACTCCCACTGTCAGCCCTGGTTTAGTCCTCGCTTACTCCTGGTTTATCTTTTGCTTTGTATTTAGTTTATGTATTTCTGGTCTGTCACATCTTCAGATCAGCTTTCTCATGTGCCTTGCTCCCTGTTAAATAAAAAGTGGGCAGTGTGAAATCGAAGATGACCAAGATATTTACCTACAAGATATTTTTGTTCTAGGCTTAAATAGATAATTTTCCTCAATTTCAAATGATCTTTTATCACATTTTGATAAAATGTGTCAAACATTAGTATTCCTCACAGTTCTGGATGAGGAACACACGCAAACATTAAGCGCAGTTCGACTTTCTAAACAAACTGAAAATACAAATGAAAGACCAGCAACTAATCTTATCTCATTAACTTTAACATGAGTTCATCCGTTTATAGCCACACTAACGTGTCGGATCTAGAAAATCAGGCCAGAACGTTAGTTACTAGAGGCTAGCGGGAGTTAGCACGTGTTAGCATCAGTGTTAGCATCAGTGTTAGCACGTTAGCATCAGTGACGTGAGGCCTGTGGCACGCGGCCGCTCGGCTCTAACGGCTTTTCCTTCACTTTTAACACCACAGAACTCCGAACCACAGCTCACGGACACTACCGAAGGTGAGGCCCGTGTCTGAGCTGCTACACCCGCGTTCCGGTCCACTTAAAGCGGGTGGAAAGAGTGAAAACGCACCGGGAAAAGTGTGTACCCACCGCCGCTGGAGGAGCCTCGACGGAAAGAGACCGGAAGGGGAGGAGCCTCTGAATATGACACTTCCGACTGACGCGCAAGAACTGAGAAAACAAAATATATGCATACATTTTTCTCTAAACAAAGTTCCCACAAAAACACTGGATATCTTCCTGTTTGTAAAATAAAACTACATCTGAGATATGACCTATAGTCAAATAACACAGAAACTACATATTTATAGTATTTTTAAGTTTTTTTGTGGCTAAAATAAATACAAATTGAGCCTCATGAAATTGGGTCCAGCCCTCCATAATGGGCGCTATCCCAACCTGGCCCCCGAAGAAAGTAATTGCCTACTTCCGAAATAGAGACAGACCAGAGAGGCCACTTCTAGACACCTTTATGAAAAAATAATGAGACCATGGGGTAAGATGAGGATGAGTAATGAAGAAGATGACAAAGTCTGGGATCGTGTCTTTAATTCAGACAGAAGACATGTTTTATTGTCGATGGTAGAGACAGCACGAACACGAATGTTACAGAATGCAAGTGATAATACACAGCATGGATGAACACCGTCCAATCAGCTTTTGCCGTGATGCCAGTAGCTTTGGCCTTCAGAAACCAAAACATCCTGGCTTGTGCATGTTGTTGAATGATGAGTTAGAACTTTAACCACAGTTGCTTCAAAGTGTCATGAAATCTCTAAAGTAATTCCTTCTCTTTTTAAACAAACAGGATATGGAAATCTCCTGCACCACATGTGAGGTTTGCAGCGTCTCCATGGTGACGCATCGCAGCATCTTTCGGCTGAGGCTGAGCGCGGGCAGTGGTTTAACATGGCTCTCCTCCACAGTCAGAGCCATTTACCGTTCAGGGACCAGAGAGACCCCGGGGACGACCAGTCCACATACACCAAGGACTACACACCTCTGCAACTCAGGTAAGAGAGACCAGAGAGAGACCAGAGAGAGAGACCAGAGAGAGACCAGATAGACCTGAGTGAGACCAGAGAGAGACCAGAGAGACCAGATAGACCTGAGTGAGACCACAAAGAGACCAGAGAGAGACCAGAGAGACCAGAGAGACCAGATAGACCTGAGTGAGACCACAAAGAGACCAGAGAGAGACCAGAGAGACCAGATAGACCTGAGTGAGACCACAAAGAGACCAGAGAGAGACCAGAGGGGGACCAAAACACATGTGTAATTTAAAATTTAAATTTTAAAAACAGTGGGGCGGCTGCGGCTGTAAAGTGCCAAACTGCCGTTGTGTCCTTAGGCAAGACACTTCACCCCCATTGCCTAGAATGAGTCTGGTGTGTGTGTGAATGGTTGGTGGTGGTCGGAGGGGCCGATGGCACATACTGGTTGCCTCGCTTCTGTCAGTGTGCCCCAGGGCAGCTGTGGCTACAGCAGTAGTTTATCACCACCGTGTATGGAGTGAATGAATAATGACACATGTGAAGCGTCTTTGAGTGTCCAAAAAAGCGCTATATAAAACCGATGCATTATTAAAATGAATATGTCTCACTGTCCTCCAGTGTTGGCAGTGTGGAACGGAGCCTGCGTCCTGGTCTCAGTTTGGCTCAGACTCGGTCCTGGTCCACAACGTCCGGATCCACCTTCATCCCCCACTTAGACCCAGAGGACTGTGAGACCCAGAGGACTTATTTGGAGACTCTCAGAGACTATAGAGACCAGAGAAAGACTAGAAAGAGAGACCAGAGAGACTAGAAAGATAGACCAGAGAGAGACCAGAGAGAGACTAGAAAGAGACTAGAAAGAAAGACCAGAGAGACCAGAGAGAGAGCAGAGAGAGACCAGAGAGACCAGAGACACCAGAGAGAGACCAGAGAGAGACCAGAGAGAGAGACCAGAGAGAGACCAGAGAGAGAGACTAGAGAGAGACCAGAGAGAGACCAGAGAGAGACCAGAGAGAGAGACTAGAGAGAGACCAGAGAGAGACCAGAGAGAGACCAGAGAGACCAGAGACACCAGAGAGAGACCAGAGAGAGAGACTAGAGAGAGACCAGAGAGAGAGACTAGAGAGAGACCAGAGAGAGACCAGAGAGAGACCAGAGAGACCAGAGACACCAGAGAGAGACCAGAGAGAGAGACTAGAGAGAGGCCAGAGAGAGAGCCTAGAGAGAGACCAGAGAGAGACCAGAGACACCAGAGAGAGACCAGAGAGAGACCAGAGAGAGAGACTAGAGAGAGAGACTAGAGAGAGACCAGAGGGAGACCAGAGAGACCAGAGAGAAAGACCAGCAGCGGCTAAATCTAACCCTGACATATGATTGGTCGGTTGCAGGTGCAGCGATGCGAGTGAAGAAAGACCAAAACTGCAGCTCGTTTCCAAAAGGAGACGAGGATCTGAACAGAAACAGAGAAAGGATGTCATCCACCACCAGCAGCTGCTACACAGACGTAAGACCCAGGACTGAGGCTGTAGACCCAGGACTGAGGCTGTAGACCCAGGACTGAGACTGTAGACCCAGGACTGAGGCTGTAGACCCAGGACTGAGACTGTAGACCCAGGACTGAGGTTGTAGACCCAGGACTGAGGCTGTAGACCCAGGACTGAGGCTGGTCTTGTTGCAGATGGGGGCGGAGCTTCCGGTGCGTCCCGGTGAGGGTCTCAGGACCAGGAGCTGTGTTGACTTCGGTCGAGTCGATTGTGACTTCAGTACCACCTCCTCCTCGCACTACAGCGCCAAGAGGACGGCGAGACTACAACCAGTGCGGCACCAGCACTGCAACATCCTGGGGGGCCACGGTGAGGGAGGGGCCACGGTGAGGGAGGGGCCGCGGTGAGGGAGGGGCCGCGGTAAGTGAGGGAGGGGCCGCAGTTAGGAAGGGGCCACGGTGAGGGGGGGGCCGCGGTGAGTGAGGGAGGGGCCGCGGTGAGGGAGGGCGTGGCCACGGTGAGTGAGGGCGGGTCCGCGGTGAGGGAGGGCGTGGCCATGGTGAGTGAGGGCGGGTCCGCGGTGAGGGAGGGCGGGGCCGCGGTGAGTGAGGGGCCGCGGTGAGTGTGGGCGGGGCCGCGGTGAGTGTGGGCGGGGCCGCGGTGAGTGTGGGCGGGGCCGCGGTCACATTATGCATGTTCGGTCTCTTGATGGTTTTATGGTTGTGTTTGTTGCAGACTGTGGCCCGTCTCTCACCATCACTCAGTCTGATTTTGTATCCTTCCCTCAGTGCAGAGCTCGTCCTGTTCCTTCCCATCAAACTGTGAGAGACCAGAGAGAGACCAGGGAGAGACCAGGGAGAGACCAGAGAGAGAGACCAGAGAGAGACCAGAGAGAGACCAGAGAGAGACCAGAGAGAGATCAGAGAGAGACCAGGGGGAGACCAGAGAGAGACCAGGGAGAGACCAGAGAGAGACCAGAGGGAGACCAGAGAGAGACCAGAGAGAGACCAGAGAGAGACCAGAGAGAGACCAGAGAGAGACCAGGGAGAGACCAGAGAGAGACCAGAGAGAGATCAGAGAGAGACCAGGGAGAGACCAGAGAGAGACCAGGGAGAGACCAGAGAGAGACCAGAGAGAGACCAGAGAGAGACCAGAGAGAGACCAGAGAGAGAGACCAGAGAGAGACTGTGAGAGACCAGAGAGAGACCAGGGGGATGACCAGGGAAAGACCAGAGGGAGACCAGAGAGAGACCAGAGGGAGACCAGAGAGAGACCAGAGGGAGACCAAAGACCAGGACGATGGTGTATCTCTTTCCTCTAACACATGGTGCTTTGTTTTACAGAGCCACATCTGGTTCCCAAGGCAGAGTGAGCATCACAGCAGCACCTACAAGGAGAGCTTCACCCCCCCTCTCACCCCTTCCTCCCCCCCCCCCCTCCTCTCTCTCTCCCCCCTCTCTCCCGCTGCCCCAGACCAATAAACCACATTCAACCGGCTTTTTACCTGCACTCTATTCATTACACACTCAGCTGGGCTCATTATGAAGGAGCAGCAGCTATACCCCGAGCATCACTGAGCTCCTCACTGTTCCCTCGCATAAAACGGTCTCTCTGGTCTCTCTCTGGTCTCTCACCAGCAGAGAGCAGTGTCCTCATGAAAAACAAGCACAGCTGGTTCTCCAAGAGGCCTCCAGGGGGCGCTGTTTGACTGAATGAGTCAGAACACTTTCTGTTCTTCACTCTGGATGTTTTGATCTGAACAAACATGAGATCTGACAAAACATGTATTTACTAGTCTCTGTCTTACTCTCACTGGTCTCTCTCTGGTCTCTCTCTGGTCTCTCTCTCTGGTCTCTCTCTCTGGTCTCTCTCTGGTCTCTCTCTAGTCTCTCTCTCTGGTCTCTCTCTGGTCTCTCTCTGGTCTCTCTCTGGTCTCTCTCTGGTCTCTCTCTGGTCTCTCTCTGGTCTCTCTCTCTGGTATCTCTCTCTGGTCTCTCTCTCTGGTCTCTCTCTGGTCTCTCTCTGGTCTCTCTCTGGTCTCTCTCTGGTCTCTCTCTCTGGTCTCTCTCTGGTCTCTCTCTGGTCTCTCTCTGGTCTCTCTCTGGTCTCTCTGGTGGAGAGACCAGAGAGAGAGCAGAAAAACATGTTTATTTGCAGGTGTTGACACTTGAGTTAAACTGTTGAAGTGATGAAAGAATGAGTCAGACACAGTTTCTCTTTTGGTCTGAGTCACTGTGACTGGTGCTTTAAAGCTCGGGTCCCTAACTTTATACAATCAATCATGTTTGGCCTCTGGTCTCTCTCTCTGGTCTCTCTCTGGTCTCTCTCTGGTCTCTCTCTCTGGTCTCTCTCTGGTCTCTCTCTGATCTCTCTCTCGCTCTCTCTCTCCCACACTGGTCTCTCTCTCTCTGGTCTCTCTCTGGTCTCTCTCTTCCACACTGGTCTCTCTCTCGCTGGTCTCTCTCTCTCGCTCTCTCTCTTCCACACTGGTCTCTCTCTGGTCTCTCTCTCGCTGGTCTCTCTCTCGCTCTCTCTCTTCCACACTGGTCTCTCTCTGGTCTCTCTCTCGCTGGTCTCTCTCTCGCTCTCTCTCTTCCACACTGGTCTCTCTCTGGTCTCTCTGGTCTCTCTCTTCAAATACCATGAAAACAAACTAGTACAGTCTGTTCTCGCTGAATAACTTCCTAAAGAGATAAACAGGAAGAAGCCGCGCGTCTGCAGCAGGACCTCAGGGACCTGCCCCTCCGGCCCCGAGCCTTTCATTACATAACCCAGGCCCCGCCCCCCGCCTCAGCCGCAAAAAGGGCCTCTCCAAGTCACAAACAACATTCTGCACAGTCTGCACAGAGAGCACAGGACAGCAGACAAAAGAGAGAGACCAGAGAGGCAAGAGAGAGACCAGAGAGACCAGAGAGATACAAAAGAGAGAGACCAGAGAGAGACCAGAGAGGCAAGAGAGAGACCAGAGAGACCAGAGAGAGACAAAAGAGAGAGACCAGAGAGAGACCAGAGAGGCAAGAGAGAGACCAGAGAGAGACAAAAGAGAGAGACCAGAGAGGGACCAGAGAGGCAAGAGAGAGACCAGAGAGAGACAAAAGAGAGAGACCAGAGAGAGACAAAAGAGAGAGACCAGAGAGGGACCAGAGAGGCAAGAGAGAGACCAGAGAGGGACGAGAGAGGCAAGAGAGAGAAGAGAGAGACCAGAGAGAGACCAGAGACAGACGCATCCAGTTCAGCCCGTGCGTAACGCCACTTGTCCGCGTCTGGAGCTCTTCCTTCGGCCGCACCATGATCTTCGACCGTCTGCGGAGGTTCGAGGTGGTCTTTGACTGCTCGGAGCTGGACGGTCCGCCCGTGTTCAGTTCCGGGGACGTGGTCTGCGGCCGGGTGGTGCTGGACCTGTCCGGGGAGACGCGGCTGGAGGCGCTGAAGCTTCACGCTGAAGGCTTCGCCAAAGTCCACTGGACCGAGTCCCGGTCCGCGGGCTCCAGCACCGCCTACACCCAGAACTACAGCGACGAGGTGGAGTACCTGAACCGGAGAGAGGTGCTGCTGCAGGCGGGTGAGTGAGAGACCCGGGGAGAGACCCGGGGAGAGACCCGGGGAGAGACCCAGGGAGAGACCCGGAGAGACCCGGGGAGAGACCCGGGGAGAGACCCTGGGAGAGACCCGGGGAGAGACCCAGGGAGAGACCCGGGGAGAGACCCGGGGAGAGACCCGGGGAGAGACCCGGGGAGAGACCCGGGGAGAGACCCAGGGAGAGAGGGAGAGACCCGGGGACCCGGGGAGAGACCCGGGGAGAGACCCAGGGAGAGAGGGGACAGACCGGGAGAGACCCGGGGAGAGAGGGGAGAGACCCGGGGAGAGACCCGGGGAGAGACCCGGGGAGAGACCCGGGGAGAGACCCGGGGAGAGGACCCAGGGAGAGACCCGGGGAGAGAGGGGAGAGACCCGGGGAGAGACCCGGGGAGAGACCCGGGGAGAGACCGCTGGGCTGGAGTTGTTATTGTTTTAGTCAGAAACTTTTCCCGTCACATGTAAACAACAAAAGTTATTCTCAAAAAATAGGTTTTTCTCAAAATCACCTCAAAACAAAGTCTTCAGCTGCAATTCTGCAAATGTGATGCTCTAGACCTTCTTTAGTCCTACTTTAGTCCTACTTTAGACCCACTTTAGACCTAGTTCTGACCCACTTTAGACCCACTTTAGACCCACTTTAGACCTACTTTAGATCTGCTCTAAGTGTACTTCAGTCACCGATGTAGATCATGTTGTTTTGCTCAGAGCGATCTGTGTGAGAGAGACCTGTGTGAGAGAGACCTGTGTGAGAGAGACCTGTGTGAGAGAGACCTGTGTGAGAGAGACCTGTGTGAGAGAGACCTGTGTGAGAGAGACCTGTGTGAGAGAGACCTGTGTGAGAGAGACCTGTGTGAGAGAAACCTGTGTGAGAGAGACCTGTGTGAGAGAGACCTGTGTGAGAGAGACCTGTGTGAGAGAGACCTGTGTGAGAGAGACCTGTGTGAGAGAGACCTGTGTGAGAGAGACCTGTGTGAGAGAGACCTGTGTGAGAGAGACCTGTCTGTCTGTCTGTGTGTGTGTAGTTGTGTCTCTGCAGCTGCTCCAGATTCTTTTGTTATTGAGTGTTGAAATCGAGGGAGTTTTACTGTGTCTGGACCTGTTTACACAAAGTCAGTCTCTGCTTCAGTCTCTGCTTCAGTCTCTGCTTCAGTCTCTGCTTCAGTCTCTGCCTCAGTCTCTGCCTCAGTCTCTGCTTCAGTCTCTGCCTCAGTCTCTGCTTCAGTCTCTGCCTCAGTCTCTGCCTCAGTCTCTGCCTCTCGCACCCACCACACGCTCCCAACTAGAACGCATATGTCAACACACCTACACATTGGGTGTTGTGTGGGTTATTGTGTTTGTGGTGATGTGTATGGTAGTGATCCGGCTGTTTGGTATGCATTGCTTGCGCACCCAGCATCAGCCAAGCAAGGCACCGCATCGTGGTTGTTTGTCTGAGTTCCGTGGTGTGGGGTTTCGGGTTTAGGAAGCATCCCTCCTATCAATACATCCGATAACGTTCCGCGCTCAAAGTCACACTCCCGTGACCGACCCCCAACCGTGATCGAATTACTTCCGTTATCCCATTCTCCACACCACGTATTGTGGTTATTTGAGCGCCAGTTAAAGACACCAAATATAACAAGCTCAATGGTCCAAGGGGTAGGGGGTGGGGTGGGGAGGAGGTGGGGTGATGTTCAACTTGGGTGGGTGGTGCTTGGGTTGTGAGGGGGGAGCTGGTGGGGGGGACTTGGGGTGCGTGCGGCGGTGTGGTGGTGCTGGGGTAGGGCGTGTGTCCGGTTGGGGTTGGGTAGTGATCGGTAGGGGGTAGGAGTGTTGACACGTTTTGTTACCTTGATGTTTTGGTTCCCGCTCAACCGATCCTCCCGGTGTGTGTTTTTGCTCCGCACGAGGCGCCACAGCCGCACACCTGCCCGGACCCGTGAGGCAGCGAAGGCAAGACCGCATAAAGCACGAAGAAACCGTTGGCCCGCTCTCTCAGCTCAGAAAGGAAGCACCCACTTCTCACGAACGCGTCAACCACGATCTCAGACCGGCCGTCCCCATCACAGAAGAAGAAACCCTTGATGCGAACTCCGCTCAAGCACCCTCACCGCTTCCCCCCACTTCCTCCCACCCTACCCCCCCCTCCCTCACACCTCGGAGTACCCCTCCCTCACCTCCCCAGTATAATTCTCCCTCCCTCTCACCTTTACACGCCTCACCCCTCAAGCAATACACCTTACCACCACCACACACACCCCAGCCGAACAGTACGCTCACCATCACAATATTCACGTGCACTCGGCGCGCACGTGGACGCAACGCATTACCACCCCACACACATATTGGCGACAGCACAGGCACATTACCGACACACATTACTCACCCCCCACAATTCACGCACCCCCATTCCCACACCCACAATCTAACACATTAGCACCACCCAACACCACTTTAACAATTACAGGGGCCAAAATTCCGCATTCTCCACCTCCCTCAGGCACCCCGGTTCAGCTCACGCACATCCCCCCCACCCCAGTACCCCCACCGCACTTCCACATACTCACTCATCCCCACCATTACCTCCCCCTATATCTTTACTCCGGCTTAACCCTCTCCCCCGACATTCCCCCCTCTCCTTCCCTCTCCCCCCTATTTTGCCGCCGCCCTCTCACCTCTACCTCCCTCCTCCCCCCACCTCCCTCCTCCCCCTCACCTCTCCATCTCCCCCCTAATCTCCCTCCTTTCCCCACCTCAATCCTCGCCTCTCTTTCCACCTCAACCTCCCTCCCTCCCACTAATCTCAATCCCCTCCTCCCCCCTCACCTCCCTCCTTCTGCCCTCTCACCTCCCTCCCTCCCCCTAATCTCCCTCCTCACACCTCACCTCCCTCCTCCCCCCTCACTCCCTCTCCACCCTCACCTCCTCCCTCCCCCGTCACCTCCTCCTTCCCCCTCACCTCCTCTCCTCCCCCCATTCTCCCTCCTCACACCGTCACCTCCCTCTCTCCCCCTCATCCCTCCTCCCTCCCTCACCTCCCTCCTCCCCCCTCAACTCCCTCCTCCCCCCTAACTCTCCTCCTCACACCTCACCTCCCTCCTTCCCCTCACCTCCCTCCTCTCCCCCCTAAATCTCCCTCCTCACAAACCCTCCTCCTCCCCCTCACCTCCCTCTCCCCCCTCACTCTCTCCTCCCCCCTAATCTCCCTCCTCCCCCTCACCTCCTCCTCCCCCCTAATCTCCCTCCCTCACACCTCCCTCCCCTCCTCCCCACTCACCTCCCTCTCCCCCCTCTCACCTCCCTCCTCCCCCCTCACCTCCCTCCTCCCCCCCTCACCTCCCTCCTCCCCCCTCACCTCTCCTCCCCCCTAATCTCCCCTCCTTCCCCCTCACCTCCCTCCTCCCCCCCTCACCTCCCTCCTCCCCCCTCACCTCCCTCCTCACACCTCATCTCCCTCCTCCCCCCTCACCTCCCTCCTCCCCCTAATCTCCCTCCTCCCCCCTCACCTCCCTCCTCCCCCCCCTCACCTCCCTCCTCCCCCTGCAAGCAGCTCTCTCATAAACACATGCAGAGGTACATTCCTGGTCTGTGATGTCACCGCTCGTCTCTGGTTTGACAAGTTTTTACTCTCGAAGAAAAACACTCAGGAGTCAAAACAAACTCAAGACCAGAGAGAGACCAGAGAGAGAGACCAGAGAGAGACCAGAGAGAGAGACCAGAGAGAGACCAGAGAGAGAGACCAGAGAGAGAGACCAGAGAGAGACCAGAGAGATGAGACCAGAGAGAGAGACCAGAGAGAGACCAGAAGAGAGACCAGAGAGAGACCAGAGAGAGACCAGAGAGACTAGAGAGAGACCAGAGAGAGACCAGAGAGAGAGACCAGAGAGAGAGACCAGAGAGAGACCAGAGAGAGAGGCCAGAGAGAGAGAGGCCAGAGAGAGAGACCAGAGAGAGAGACCAGAGAGAGACCAGAGAGAGAGGCCAGAGAGAGACCAGAGAGAGAGACCAGAGAGAGAGACCAGAGAGAGAGACCAGAGAGAGACCAGAGAGAGAGGCCAGAGAGAGAGGCCAGAGAGAGAGACCAGAGAGAGACCAGAGAGAGAGGCCAGAGAGAGAGGCCAGAGAGAGAGACCAGAGAGAGAGACCAGAGAGAGACCAGAGAGAGAGAGACCAGAGAGAGACCAGAGAGAGAGGCCAGAGAGAGAGGCCAGAGAGAGAGACCAGAGAGAGAGACCAGAGAGAGACCAGAGAGAGACCAGAGAGAGAGAACCAGAAGAGAGACCCAGAGAGAGAGACCAGAGAGAGAGACCAGAGAGAGACCAGAGAGAGAGACCAGAGAGAGAGACCAGAGAGAGACCAGAGAGAGACCAGAGAGAGAGACCAGAGAGAGAGACCAGAGAGAGAGACCAGAGAGAGACCAGAGAGAGAGACCAGAGAGAGACCAGAGAGAGACCAGAGAGAGACCAGAGAGAGACCAGAGAGAGACTAGAGAGAGACCAGAGAGAGACCAGAGAGAGACCAGAGAGAGACCAGAGAGAGACCAGAGAGAGACCAGTGAGAGAGAGACCAGAGAGAGAGACCAGAGAGAGACCAGAGAGAGAGACCAGAGAGAGAGACCAGAGAGAGACCAGAGAGAGAGACAGAGAGAGAGACCAGAGAGAGACCAGAGAGAGACCAGAGAGAGAGACCCAGAGAGAGACCAGAGAGAGAGACCAGAGAGAGACCAGAGAGAGAGACCAGAGAGAGACCAGAGAGAGACCAGAGAGAGACCAGAGAGAGACCAGAGAGAGACTAGAGAGAGACCAGAGAGAGACCAGAGAGAGACCAGAGAGACCAGAGAGAGACCAGAGAGAGAGACCAGAGAGAGACCAGAGAGAGAGCTAGAGAGAGACCAGAGAGAGAGACCAGAAGAGACCAGAGAGAGAGACCAGAGAGAGACCAGAGAGAGACCAGAGAGAGACCAGAGAGAGACCAGAGAGAGACCAGAGAGAGACCAAGAGACCAGAGAGAGACCAGAGAGAGAGACCAGAGAGAGGGACCAGAGAGAGACCAGAGAGACCAGAGAGAGACGAGAGAGACCAGAGAGAGACCAGAGAGACCAGAGAGAGACCAGAGAGACCAGAGAGAGACCAGAGAGAGACCTGAGAAGAGACCAAGAGAGAGACCAGAGAGAGACCAGAGAGAGAGACCAGAGAGAGACCAGGTGAGAGAGACCAGAGAGAGACCAGAGAGAGACCAGAGAGAGACCAGAGAGAGACCAGAGAGAGACCAAAGAGAGACCAGAGAGAGACCAGAGAGAGACCAGAGAGAGACCAGAGAGAGAGACCAGAGAGAGAGACCAGGAGAGAGACCAGAGAGAGACCAGAGAGAGACCAGAGAGAGACCAGAGAGAGACCAGAGAGAGACCAGAGAGAGACCAGAGAGAGACCAGAGAGAGAGACCAAAGAGAGACCAGAGAGAGACCAGAGAGAGACCAGAGAGAGACCAGAGAGAGACCAGAGAGAGACCAGGGAGAGAGACCAGAGAGAGACCAGGAGAGAGACCAGAGAGAGACCAGGGAGAGAGACCAGAGAGAGACCCAAAGAGAGACCAGAGAGAGACCAGAGAGAGACCAGAGAGAGACCAGAGAGAGAGACCAGAGAGAGACCAGGGAGAGAGACCAGAGAGAGACCAGAGAGAGACCAGAGAGAGAGACCAGAGAGAGACCAAAGAGAGACTAGAGAGAGACCAGAGTGAGACCAGAGAGAGGTCAGAGAGAGACCAGAGTGAGACCAGAGAGAGACCAGAGAGAGACCAGAGTGAGACCAGAGAGAGACCAGAGTGAGACCAGAGAGAGACCAGAGAGAGAGACCAGAGAGAGAGACCAGAGAGAGGTCAGAGAGAGAGACCAGAGAGAGACCAGAGAGAGAGACCAGAGAGAGGTCAGAGAGAGGACTGTGAGCTCCTGTTCTGGAGGTTCTTTATACTGTAAATCCAGACTTTTTAAATCCAGCTCTCAGAATAATCAATGACTCTTCTGGCCCCTGGAAAAGCCTTGTTCCAGCTTCTTCCCTCTGGCAGATATCGTTCACTGGGATTCGGGACATCTCGACATGCTAACATGATAACAGCTGTCATCAGTTTGAACCAGTGAGGGCGGGTCCGGGCTCAAAAGTGGCCAAAATGACGTGCGCTGACATGCTGCAATACCACCCCGGGCCTGTGGGGGTGGACCCGGAAGAAGAATTAGCCAATGCTAACATATAGCATCTTCTTACCTCTGGAAAACGTCTTTACAGGATGGTCCAAAGTTGTCTCTTGGCCCAAAGCTCCGTTCCACATGTGTGTCAATGCTGAGTGTTCTGGACCAGTCTAGTTTAGTCACTGTGGACTTTAGAAGTCTCGCTTTGGTTGCTCTGGTCGTGTCGGTCGCTCTGGTCGCGTCGCTCTGGTCGCGTCGCTCTGGTCGCTCTGGTCGCTTTGGTCGCGTCGCTCTGGTCGCTCTGGTCGCTTTGGTCGCGTCGCTCTGGTCGCTTTGGTCGCGTCGCTCTGGTCGCTCTGGTCGCGTCGCTTTGGTCGCGTCGCTCTGGTCGCGTCGCTCTGGTCGCTCTAGTTGCTCTAGTTGCTCTGGTCGCTCTAGTTGCTCTGGTCGCTCTGGTCGCTCTGGTCGCTCTGGTCGCTCTAGTTGCTCTGGTCGCTCTAGTCGCTCTGGTCGCTCTAGTCGCTCTGGTCGCTCTGGTCGCTCTGGTCGCTCTGGTCGCTCTAGTTGCTCTGGTCGCTCTGGTCGCTCTGGTCGCTCTAGTCGCTCTGGTCGCTCTGGTCGCTCTGGTCGCTCTGGTCGCTCTGGTCGCTCTGGTCGCTCTGGTCGCTCTAGTCGCTCTGGTCGCTCTGGTCGCTCTGGTCGCTCTGGTCGCTCTGGTCGCTCTGGTCGCTCTGGTCGCTCTGGTCGCTCTAGTTGCTCTAGTTGCTCTGGTCGCTCTAGTTGCTCTGGTCGCTCTGGTCGCTCTGGTCGCTCTGGTCGCTCTAGTTGCTCTGGTCGCTCTAGTCGCTCTGGTCGCTCTGGTCGCTCTGGTCGCTCTGGTCGCTCTAGTTGCTCTGGTCGCTCTAGTTGCTCTGGTCGCTCTGGTCGCTCTGGTCGCTCTAGTCGCTCTGGTCGCTCTGGTCGCTCTAGTTGCTCTGGTCGCTCTGGTCGCTCTGGTCGCTCTAGTCGCTCTGGTCGCTCTGGTCGCTCTGGTCGCTCTGGTCGCTCCGGTCGCTCCGGTCGCTCTGGTCGTGTCTTTCGCACATTTATTCCAAAGTGGTTTTACTGCAGATGGAAAATACATCTGATCCTGTCGCTGTTTCTTTCACTGCCACAGGACACTCCACAACTACATCATGGAGAGAGGAGGAGGCGCAGGACACTCCACAACTACATCATGGAGAGAGGAGGAGGCGCAGGACACTCCACAACTACATCATGGAGAGAGGAGGAGGCGCAGGACACTCCACAACTACATCATGGAGAGAGGAGGAGGTGCAGGACACTCCACAACTACATCATGGAGAGAGGAGGAGGCGCAGGACACTCCACAACTACATCATGGAGAGAGGAGGAGGCGCAGGAAACTCCACAACTACATCATGGAGAGAGGAGGAGGCGCAGGACACTCCACAACTACATCATGGAGAGAGGAGGAGGTGCAGGACACTTTACAACTACATCACGGAGAGAGGAGGAGGTGCAGGACACTCCACAACTACATCATGGAGAGAGGAGGAGGCGCAGGACACTCCACAACTACATCATGGAGAGAGGAGGAGGTGCAGGACACTCCACAACTACATCATGGAGAGAGGAGGAGGCGCAGGACACTCCACAACTACATCATGGAGAGAGGAGGAGGAGGTGCAGGACACTCCACAACTACATCATGGAGAGAGGAGGAGGTGCAGGACACTCCACAACTACATCATGGAGAGAGGAGGAGGCGCAGGACACTCCACAACTACATCATGGAGAGAGGAGGAGGCGCAGGACACTCCACAACTACATCATGGAGAGAGGAGGAGGCGCAGGACACTTTACAACTACATCATGGAGAGAGGAGGAGGCGCAGGACACTCCACAACTACATCATGGAGAGAGGAGGAGGCGCAGGACACTCCACAACTACATCATGGAGAGAGGAGGAGGTGCAGGACACTTTACAACTACATCATGGAGAGAGGAGGAGGTGCAGGACACTCCACAACTACATCATGGAGAGAGGAGGAGGTGCAGGACACTCCACAACTACATCATGGAGAGAGGAGGAGGAGGTGCAGGACACTCCACAACTACATCATGGAGAGAGGAGGAGGCGCAGGACACTCCACAACTACATCATGGAGAGAGGAGGAGGCGCAGGACACTCCACAACTACATCATGGAGAGAGGAGGAGGCGCAGGACACTCCACAACTACATCATGGAGAGAGGAGGAGGCGCAGGACACTTTACAACTACATCATGGAGAGAGGAGGAGGCGCAGGACACTTTACAACTACATCATGGAGAGAGGAGGAGGCGCAGGACACTCCACAACTACATCATGGAGAGAGGAGGAGGAGGTGCAGGACACTCCACAACTACATCATGGAGAGAGGAGGAGGCGCAGGACACTCCACAACTACATCATGGAGAGAGGAGGAGGCGCAGGACACTCCACAACTACATCATGGAGAGAGGAGGAGGCGCAGGACACTTTACAACTACATCATGGAGAGAGGAGGAGGCGCAGGACACTTTACAACTACATCATGGAGAGAGGAGGAGGCGCAGGACACTTTACAACTACATCATGGAGAGAGGAGGAGGTGCAGGACACTCCACAACTACATCATGGAGAGAGGAGGAGGTGCAGGACACTCCACAACTACATCATGGAGAGAGGAGGAGGAGGTGCAGGACACTCCACAACTACATTATGGAGAGAGGAGGAGGCGCAGGACACTCCACAACTACATCATGGAGAGAGGAGGAGGCGCAGGACACTCCACAACTACATCATGGAGAGAGGAGGAGGAGGTGCAGGACACTCCACAACTACATCATGGAGAGAGGAGGAGGCGCAGGACACTCCACAACTACATCATGGAGAGAGGAGGAGGCGCAGGACACTCCACAACTACATCATGGAGAGAGGAGGAGGCGCAGGACACTCCACAACTACATCATGGAGGAGAGGATGAGGCGCAGGACACTCCACAACTACATCATGGAGAGAGGAGGAGGAGCAGGACACTCCACAACTACATCATGGAGAGAGGAGGAGGCGCAGGACACTCCACAACTACATCATGGAGAGAGGAGGAGGAGGTGCAGGACACTCCACAACTACATCATGGAGAGAGGAGGAGGCGCAGGACACTCCACAACTACATCATGGAGAGAGGAGGAGGCGCAGGACACTCCACAACAACATAATGGAGACAGGAGGAGGCGCAGGACACTTTACAACTACATCATGGAGAGAGGAGGAGGCGCAGGACACTTTACAACTACATCATGGAGAGAGGAGGAGGCGCAGGACACTCCACAACTACATCATGGAGAGAGGAGGAGGCGCAGGACACTCCACAACTACATCATGGAGAGAGGAGGAGGCGCAGGACACTTTACAACTACATCATGGAGAGAGGAGGAGGCGCAGGACACTCCACAACTACATCATGGAGAGAGGAGGAGGCGCAGGACACTCCACAACTACATCATGGAGAGAGGAGGAGGCGCAGGACACTTTACAACTACATCATGGAGAGAGGAGGAGGTGCAGGAGGAGGAGCTGGAGGAGGCCCATCATACTGTATACTTGGACATTGCTTGACCTCGAGTCTGCTCCAGAAATCTACTTTGTGTTTTCTTTGGGAACAGTTGTACCTCAGTGTCGCAAAACTTCATTATTTTTTTGATTGTAAAAATAAGGAGTTTGTGTGGTCCAAAAACCCGGCTCTATGAATTAGTCTCACAGCTCTTTTTTGCAATATTACATGAAGTCAATAGGAGCCAGAGAGAGGAGCCAAACTTCACCCATGAGCACTTCCCTGTTGGGTCTGTGTACAGTCTGTGGTGTTTTGTAGGTTCTCAGGTTTCTGTGCGGTCTCGAAGAACACACTGTCCCACCCGCAACCAGAATGTGCTCATCAATATATACACCCGCCTCCCCCCTGACCCCCCTGCCTCCCCCCTGACTCCCCTCTCCTTACATAAGGATCAGGCGTAAACACAGCTCAGCCTGATCCCGTTTCTCTTCTGGGGAATGCTGCTTCCAAGTTGTTCTTCAAAAACACAGGCGCATGACGAAGGAGCAGAGGAGGTAACCCGAGCTCTGGGTGTGTGGGAGGAGGGGGAGGAGGGGGAGGAGGGGGAGGAAGGGAGGGGGGGGGGGGTTCTGGCTGGATCGGACCGGTTCCGACTGCTGCTGCTCCTTCTCTGCTGCTCATCTGGTTTCTCTATTTTTGGTTGAAATGTTCTTTTCCTCAGAACGAACCGAGAGAGAAACCAGAGAGAGACCAGAGAGAGAGACCAGAGAGAGACCAGAGAGAGAGACCAGAGAGAGAGACCAGAGAGAGACCAGAGAGAGAGACCAGAGAGAGACCAGAGAGAGAGACCAGAGAGAGAGACCAGAGAGAGAGACCAGAGAGAGAGACCAGAGAGAGAGACCAGAGAGAGAGACCAGAGAGAGAGACCAGAGAGAGACCAGAGAGACAGACCAGAGAGAGAGACCAGAGAGGGACCAGAGAGAGAGACCAGAGAGAGAGACCAGAGAGAGACCAGAGAGACAGACCAGAGAGAGAGACCAGAGAGGGACCAGAGAGAGAGACCAGAGAGAGAGACCAGAGAGAGACCAGAGAGAGAGACCAGAGAGAGACCAGAGAGAGAGACCAGAGAGAGAGACCAGAGAGAGAGACCAGAGAGAGACCAGAGAGAGACCAGAGAGAGAGACCAGAGAGAGAGACCAGAGAGAGACCAGAGAGAGAGAGACCAGAGAGAGAGACCAGAGAGAGAGACCAGAGAGAGACCAGAGAGAGACCAGAGAGAGACCAGAGAGAGAGACCAGAGAGAGAGACCAGAGGTCTACGGCCTCAGTCCTGGGTCTACAGCCTCAGTCCTGGGTCTACAGCCTGTAATCACAACATCTCATGAATTTGGTTTCAGATCACAGTTATATAACACTCCAGCGTCTCGCCAGAACCTGTTGGATCCAGATTCCGGCTGTTTGGATGGAGAAGGATGTGTGTCAGGGGTGGAGGGGGGGTCTGGGGGGTCCTGGTTCCTGGGGGTCAGTCAGTGCTGTGTCACACGCTCCATTCTCTGGATAGTTCCAGGTTTAGATTCACGCTCTGTCACTGGGACCGAGCTGAGTCAGAGAACAGCTGCAAGGTCTGAGCACAGAGGTTCTGCTTTCTCTGTTTCACACTCTCTGGTCTCTCTCTGGTCTCTCTCTGGTCTCTCTCTCTGGTCTCTCTCTGGTCTCTCTCTCTGGTCTCTCTCTGGTCTCTCTCTCTGGTCTCTCTCTGGTCTCTCTCTGGTCTCTCTCTGGTCTCTCTCTCTGGTCTCTCTCTGGTCTCTCTCTCTCTCTGGTCTCTCTCTCTCTCTGGTCTCTCTGGTCTCTCTCTGCTCTCGCTCTGGTCTCTCTCTCTGGTCTCTCTCTGGTCTCTCTCTCTGGTCTCTCTCTGGTCTCTCTCTGGTCTCTCTCTCTGGTCTCTCTCTGGTCTCTCTCTCTGGTCTCTCTCTGGTCTGTCTCTCTGGTCTCTCTCTCTCTCTGGTCTGTCTCTCTGGTCTCTCTCTGGTCTCTCTCTGGTCTCTCTCTCTGGTCTCTCTCTCTGGTCTCTCTCTGGTCTGTCTCTCTGGTCTCTCTCTGGTCTGTCTCGCTGGTCTCTCTCTGGTCTGTCTCTCTGGTCTCTCTCTGGTCTCTCTTTGGTCTCTCTCTGGTCTCTCTCTGCTCTCGCTCTGGTCTCTCTCTGCTCTCGCTCTGGTCTCTCTCTTTGGTCTCTCTCTCTGGTCTCTCTCTGGTCTCTCTCTCTGGTCTCTCTCTGGTCTCTCTCTCTGGTCTCTCTCTGGTCTCTCTCTCTGGTCTCTCTCTCTGGTCTCTCTCTCTGGTCTCTCTCTGGTCTCTCTCTGGTCTCTCTCTGCTCTCGCTCTGGTCTCTCTCTCTGGTCTCTCTCTCTGGTCTCTCTCTGGTCTCTCTCTGCTCTCTCTCTGCTCTCTCTCTGCTCTCTCTCTAGTCTCTCTCTGGTCTCTCTCTGGTCTCTGTCTCTGGTCTCTCTCTGGTCTCTCTCTAGTCTCTCTCTGGTCTCTCTCTGGTCTCTCTCTGGTCTCTCTCTCTCTGGTCTCTCTCTGGTCTCTCTCTGGTCTCTATCTGGTCTCTCTCTGGTCTGTCTCTCTGGTCTCTCTCTGGTCTCTCTCTGCTCTCGCTCTGGTCTCTCTCTCTGGTCTCTCTCTGGTCTCTCTCTCTGGTCTCTCTCTCTGGTCTCTCTCTGGTCTCTCTCTCTGGTCTCTCTCTGGTCTCTCTCTCTCTCTGCTCTCTCTCTGGTCTCTCTCTGGTCTCTCTCTGGTCTCTCTCTGGTCTCTCTCTCTGGTCTCTCTCTGGTCTCTCTCTGGTCTCTCTCTCTGGTCTCTCTCTGGTCTCTCTCTGGTCTCTCTCTCTGGTCTCTCTCTGGTCTCTCTCTGGTCTCTCTCTGGTCTCTCTCTCTGGTCTCTCTCTGGTCTCTCTCTGGTCTGTCTCTCTGGTCTCTCTCTCTGGTCTCTCTCTGGTCTGTCTCTCTGGTCTCTCTCTCTCTCTCTGGTCTCTCTCTGGTCTCTCTCTCTGGTCTCTCTCTCTGGTCTCTCTCTGGTCTGTCTCTCTGGTCTCTCTCTGGTCTGTCTCTCTGGTCTCTCTCTGGTCTGTCTCTCTGGTCTCTCTCTGGTCTCTCTCTCTGGTCTCTCTCTGGTCTCTCTCTCTGGTCTCTCTCTCTGGTCTCTCTCTCTGGTCTCTCTCTGGTCTGTCTCTCTGGTCTCTCTCTGGTCTGTCTCTCTGGTCTCTCTCTAGTCTCTCTCTGGTCTCTCTCTGGTCTCTCTCTCTGGTCTCTCTCTGGTCTCTCTCTCTGGTCTCTCTCTGGTCTCTCTCTCTGGTCTCTCTCTCTGGTCTCTCTCTGCTCTCGCTCTGGTCTCTCTCTCTGGTCTCTCTCTGGTCTCTCGCTCTGGTCTCTCTCTCTGGTCTCTCTCTGGTCTCTCTCTCTGGTCTCTCTCTGGTCTCTCTCTCTGGTCTCTCTCTCTGGTCTCTCTCCAGTCCTGGTCTCTGTTATTTCTTGTTTCTGTCTTCTCTGTGGTGACGGTTGGTCCAAACAACACGCCAACCTTTCCCGCTGTTGTCCTGGGTCGACACGGGTCATAAAACAGGCTAAATCAAATCTTTACAATAAACAAACTGGACGTGTTATTTCCTTGGCTGGTTTTCCTCACTTCCTGACGACCTGTCGCTGTGACTGACCTCATGACAACATCTAAAAGCAGAGGATGACACGGGTCTAAAGTCACGACGTCATCCACGACCGACACCGCTAATAAGACCTTCACATTGACATGGAGTGACTAATGTGGCAGTAGTAACAGCAGCAGTAGTAGCAGCAGTAGTAGCAGCAGTAGTAGCAGTAGCAGCAGCAGTAGTAGCAGCAGCAGCAGCAGCAGTAGTAGCAGCAGCAGTAGTAACAGCAGCAGTAGCAGCAGCAGCAGCAGCAGCAGTAGTAGCAGCAGTAGTAGCAGCAGTAGTAGTAGCAGCAGTAGTAGCAGCAGTAGTAGCAGCAGCAGCAGTAGCAGCAGCAGTAGTAACAGCAGCAGTAGCAGCAGCAGCAGCAGCAGCAGTAGTAGCAGCAGTAGTAGCAGCAGTAGTAGTAGCAGCAGTAGTAGCAGCAGTAGTAGTAACAGCAGCAGCAGCAGCAGCAGTAGTAGCAGCAGTAGTAGCAGCAGTAGTAGCAGTAGCAGCAGTAGCAGTTGCAGCAGTAGTAGTTGCAGCAGTAGTGACAGAGGTCTGAGGCTCGTCTGCAGCGGCCTCTAGAGGCTGCTCAGCGACACAACAAAAACATGAGAGAAACCTATTGTTCTTTAGCCGCAGAGAATAAACAATAGTGACAGCAGCAGGTGAAGTGACGTCATCAGAGCAGAGCTGTGAGAAGAATGTAACGTAACGTAACGTAACGTGTTGTTATGGGGCTGGTTTGTCAGACGACAGCGCCCTCTGCTGGATTGACAGTTCAAGAGTTTTTAAAAAATCTCGTAAAACTTACTACCAATGATAATAACAACAACAATAATAACATTATTAATAACAATATGAATTAAAATAATTAAAAAGAAAAGAAAGTACCGGTCCGTTGTCATGACAACAGTTCCGCCCACATCCCTCTCGTAACTTTCACTTTCCCTGAAAACGTGAAAGTTTCGTTTTCACATCATACAGTCTCTACAGTCTCTACAGACTCTACAGTCTCTACAGACTCTACAGACTCTACAGACTCTACAGACTCTACAGTCTCTACAGACTCTACAGACTCTACAGACTCTACAGACTCTACAGACTCTACAGTCTCTACAGACTCTACAGTCTCTACAGTCTCTACAGACTCTACAGACTCTACAGTCTCTACAGACTCTACAGTCTCTACAGACTCTACAGACTCTACAGTCTCTACAGTCTCTACAGACTCTACAGACTCTACAGACTCTACAGTCTCTACAGTCTCTACAGTCTCTACAGACTCTACAGTCTCTACAGACTCTGACTCTACAGTCTCTACAGACTCTACAGTCTCTACAGACATGACGTCCGGTGGATTCTCGTTCGGGGTTCCTGTTGCCGACGCCGCCGTCTCCTCCATACTGAGACCCTCCGCTTTTGAACCCTCTGTCTTCTCTGTCGGAACATTGGACAAGAAACCCAAGAAGAAGGAGGACTGTGATGTCACACGTAAGTCAACCTATAGCCCAGAGAGAGACCAGAAAGAGACCAGAGAGAGACCAGAGAGAGACCAGAGAGAGACCAGAGAGAGACCAGAGAGAGACCAGAGAGAGACCAGAGAGAGAGACCAGAGAGAGACCAGAGAGAGACCAGAGAGAGACCAGAGAGAGACCAGAGAGAGACCAGAGAGAGACCAGAGAGAGACCAGAGAGAGACCAGAGAGAGACCAGAGAGAGGCCAGAGAGAGACCAGAGAGAGACCAGAGAGAGACCAGAGCGAGACCAGAGAGAGACCAGAGAGAGACCAGAGAGAGACCAGAGAGAGAGACCAGAGAGAGACCAGAGAGAGACCAGAGAGGGACCAGAGAGAGACCAGAGAGAGACCAGAGAGAGACCAGAGAGAGACCAGAGAGAGACCAGAGAGAGACCAGAGAGAGACCAGAGAGAGACCAGAGAGAGACCAGAGAGAGACCAGAGAGAGACCAGAGAGAGACCAGAGAGAGACCAGAGAGAGACCAGAGAGAGAGAGAGAGACCAGAGAGAGACCAGAGAGAGACCAGAGAGAGACCAGTGAGAGACCAGAGAGAGACCAGAGAGAGACCAGAGAGAGACCAGGGAGAGACCAGAGAGAGACCAGAGAGAGACCAGAGAGAGACCAGAGAGAGTCCAGAGAGAGACCAGAGAGAGACCAGAGAGAGTCCAGAGAGAGGGAATCCCATCAGTGTGTTTCTGTCCTTGTTTCAGAGGGAACTTCTTTAATGAAGTTGTCGACTCCGTGGAGAGAAGTGGAGTGGACTGAAGAGTGAGTCCTTTTGGATCTATAGCCCTATTTCCACCATCTCTGCCCGCCATGGTCCCTGTGCCATGGTCCCTGTGCCATGGTCCCTGTGCCATGGTCCCTGTGCCATGGTCCCTGTGCCATGGTCCCTGTGTTATGGTCCCTGAGCTTCTGGTCCCTGTGTAATGGTACCTGTGTCTCTGGTACCTTTGTCTCTGGTACCTCTGTCTCTGGTACCTGTGTCTCTGGTACCTGTGTGTCTGGTCCCTGTGTCTCTGGTACCTGCCCATGGTGCCTGTGTCTCTGGTACCTGTGCGTCCGGTCCCTGTGTCTCTGGTACCTGCCCATGGTGCTTGTATCTCTGGTACCTGTGTGTCTGGTCCCTGTGTCTCTGGTACCTGTGCGTCTGGTCCCTGTGTCTCTGGTACCTGCCCATGGTGCCTGTGTCTCTGGTACCTGTGCGTCCGGTCCCTGTGTCTCTGGTACCTGCCCATGGTGCTTGTATCTCTGGTACCTGTGTGTCTGGTCCCTGTGTCTCTGGTACCTGTGCGTCTGGTCCCTGTGTCTCTGGTACCTGCCATGGTGCCTGTGTCTCTGGTACCTGTGCGTCTGGTCCCTGTGTCTCTGGTACCTGTGCGTCTGGTCCCTGTGTCTCTGGTACCTGCCATGGTGCCTGTGTCTCTGGTACCTGTGTGTCTGGTCCCTGTGTCTCTGGTACCTGCCCATGGTGCCTGTGTCTCTGGTATTGCAGTGCGAGGGAGGGCCTTGTGAGGAGGCTGTGCTCTTACGCCCCCTGCTGTCGGGACGTGGCACAGGCGCGGGTCCTGCTCCTGGGACCAGTGGGATCCGGAAAGTCCAGCTTCATCAGCTCCGTGCAGTCGGTGCTGGACGGACGAGTGACCAACAGAGCCATGGTGGGGGGCGGGGCCTGCAGCTTCACACACCAGGTGAGCCCGGACTAGCATAAGACCGGACCAGCAAGCAGACCGGACCAGAAGGTACGGACTGGACCAGCAAGCAGACCGGACCAGAAGATACGGACTGGACCAGCAAGCAGACCGGACCAGAAGGTACGGACTGGACCAGCAAGCAGACCGGACCAGAAGGTACGGACTGGACCAGCAAGCAGACCAGCAAACAGACTGGACCAGAAGGTACAAACCGGACTGTGTGTCTCTGTGTGTAGCTGCAGTTGTTCCCTCAGTGTGTGTCTCTGTGTGTCTCAGTGTGAGTGTGTGTGTGTTTCAGTGTGAGTGTGTCTCTGTTTGTGTGTGCGTGTGTCTCTGTGTGTCTCAGTGTGAGTGTGTGTGTGTGTCTCTGTGTGTATGTGCGTGTGTGTGTGTCTCTGTTTGTGTGCGTGTGTGTGTCTCAGTGTGTGTCCGTGTGTGTACCTGCAGTTGTTCCCTCAGTGTGTGTAGCTGTGTGTGTCTGTGTGTGTAGCTGTGTGTCTCAGTGTGTGTCTGTGTGTCTGTGTGTGTAGCTGCAGTCGTTCCCTCAGTGTCTGTAGCTGTGTGTGTCTGCGTGTGTAGCTGTGTGTGTCTCAGTGTGTGTAGCTGTGTGTCTGTGTGTGTAGCTGCAGTCGTCCCTCAGTGTGTGTAGCTGTGTGTCTGTGTGTGTAGCTGCAGTCGTTCCCTCAGTGTGTGTAGCTGTGTGTATCTCAGTGTGTGTGTCTGTGTGTGTAGCTGCAGTCGTTCCCTTTGTGTGTGTAGCTGTGTGTGTCTCAGTGTGTGTCTGTGTGTCTGTGTGTGTAGCTGTGTGTATCTCAGTGTGTGTCTGTGTGTCTGTGTGTGTAGCTGTGTGTGTAGCTGCAGTCGTTCCCTCAGTGTGTGTAGCTGTGTGTATCTCAGTGTGTGTGTCTGTGTGTGTCTCAGTGTGTGTCTGTGTGTCTGTGTGTGTAGCTGTGTGTATCTCAGTGTGTGTCTGTGTGTGTAGCTGCAGTCGTTCCCTCAGTGTGTGTAGCTGTGTGTATCTCAGTGTGTGTGTCTGTGTGTGTCTCAGTGTGTGTCTGTGTGTCTGTGTGTGTAGCTGTGTGTATCTCAGTGTGTGTCTGTGTGTGTAGCTGCAGTCGTTCCCTCAGTGTGTGTAGCTGTGTGTGTCTCAGTGTGTGTCTGTGTGTGTAGCTGTGTGTATCTCAGTGTGTGTCTGTGTGTGTGTAGCTGCAGTCGTTCCCTCAGTGTGTGTAGCTGTGTGTATCTCAGTGTGTGTGTCTGTGTGTGTAGCTGCAGTCGTTCCCTCAGTGTGTGTAACTGTGTGTGTCTGTGTGTGTAGCTGCAGTCGTTCCCTCAGTGTGTGTAGCTGTGTGTATCTCAGTGTGTGTGTCTGTGTGTGTAGCTGCAGTCGTTCCCTCAGTGTGTGTAACTGTGTGTGTCTGTGTGTGTAGCTGCAGTCGTTCCCTCAGTGTGTGTAACTGTGTGTGTCTGTGTGTGTAGCTGCAGTCGTTCCCTCAGTGTGTGTAGCTGTGTGTATCTCAGTGTGTGTGTCTGTGTGTGTAGCTGCAGTCGTTCCCTCAGTGTGTGTAACTGTGTGTGTCTGTGTGTGTAGCTGCAGTCGTTCCCTCTGCGAGGCTCTGAGTCCTGTGCTGTGGAGCTGTGGGACTCCATGGGGTTTGGAGACCTGAGCGGACCGAGTCTGCACCACCTGCTGGGCGTGGTCCGAGGCCACGCCCCCCACGGATACAAGGTACCAGCAACACCAGCAACACCAGTAACACCAGCAACACCAGCAACATCCGTAAGGCCCCGACTCCACCGGGCGCGTAAAACGGACGACGGATCCGTCCAAACATGTCCGTTTCATCTCCGTCTCCGTTATCTCCATGAGGGTGAATGGAAGTGGCTCCACTGCCTCCGCATGCGTCCGTCCAACGCACGTCGGACCTATTCCGTCAACGGAGGGTGCAAAAGACGTGGACGGACGAAATAGAAACAATCCTATTTGTTCCGTCCGTCGACGCGTGTCGGGTCCGTTTTCCATTGAAAATACAATGGAATAATATATTTACAACATTGTTAAACATGTATTGATATATGCTGTAGTCCTTGGTTATAAGTATTTGTTAATGACAATGATTATTAACAAACGTGTGTAATGTTTTTCATGTATGTAATTGTTTCCTGATCGTAAATCTACCATTTATTTTTCGCGTAATGTTAATCTTTACATACACCTCGCTCTTCTGTCCCGTCTACCTCCGAGGCGCTCTCTCCTCACCGCCGCGCGCTCCCAGACAGACAGACAGACAGACAGACAGACACACACACACAGAGCTGCACTTATGAGAGACAGATCTCACAACACTGGATATGTTGGAGTTCTTTTCTCTTTCCCCTTTTTCCAATTGCTTTCAATAAGTTTTGCCTCATTCATCGCGACGTCCTCAATGCTTCAATATGCTGTGCTTTGCATTGATCACAGCCACAGCTCATGCACATCACACACCGCTTCTTCTATTTAAAACTATAGCTCTGCCTGTTGCCTAAAGCCGCGGAGAGGCAAGTTGGGTCAGATAAAAGTGTATGACGCGCTAAATAAGTAGAAAACAAACGAAGAGGCTGGATCATAATAAACGCTGCAGTCACAGACCCAAACACACACACACACATACACACACGGGCGCTCTCACGCACACGCTCACGCACACGCACGCCGACAATACATAACTCCTCCATCAGCCAAACATTCATTCATTCACACAATGCCCAAACATGTCTCCTACAAAAACAAAGCAGGCTGATAAACGCACAGCCAGAGCTGCTGCTGCAGCCGGTTTGACCACTAGTCCGTTTTACGGACGGCTGACGGACAGCAGCCAACGCGCGTCAACGGAGACGCGCCCGGTGGAGTCGGGGGGTTACACCTGCAAAACCAGACTAGGTCAAGACTACGATCGATGGTAGAGTCTCGGGTTAGGATGTGGTCTTGGTCCCGGTCGTGGGAGACTGGACCAGGTCTGTACTCTCCATCAGAGACCCGAGGATCATGGGAGTTCTTCTCAGTCAGTGCTTTGTGGATCTGGAGGCGGGTTCCCCTGGTTCCTTTGGGGGGTTCTCTGGGGTCTGGGGTCCTGGGTCCACTGCGGAGGGCCTGGTCCCTGTAAGACCGGAGCCAGACCTGTGTTTGCAGAAAGTCAGACCTGGTCCCGGTGTGGGACTCCCCTGACCCTGCCCTGTGTCACCGGTTCTGTTCACTGTCTTTATGTGCTATATAAATAAACATTACTTACTTATTTACATACTCACAGAATTTATAGGGACAACTAGGGTCTTATCCAGGTGCTGGTCCTCACCTGGTCCTCACCTGGTCCTAGTCCACTCCAGTGATCCACAGACTCAGACCTGCTCTGACTGGGATCAGACCTGGTCCTCTCCAGACTGATCTGAGTCTAGATCTGAGTGAGTGAGGAGGTCTGAGTCTAGATCTGAGTGAGTGAGGAGGTCTGAGTCTAGATCTGAGGGAGTGAGGAGGTCTGAGTCTAGATCTGAGTGAGTGAGGAGGTCTGGGTCTAGATCTGAGGGAGTGAGGAGGTCTGGGTCTAGATCTGAGGGAGTGAGGAGGTCTGGGTCTAGATCTGAGGGAGTGAGGAGGTCTGGGTCTAGATCTGAGGGAGTGAGGAGGTCTGGGTCTAGATCTGAGTGAGTGAGGAGGTCTGGGTCTAGATCTGAGGGAGTGAGGAGGTCTGAGGTCTGGGTCTAGATCTGAGGGAGTGAGGAGGTCTGGGTCTAGATCTGAGTGAGTGAGGAGGTCTGAGTCTAGATCTGAGGGAGTGAGGAGGTCTGAGTCTAGATCTGAGGGAGTGAGGAGGTCTGGGTCTAGATCTGAGGGAGTGAGGAGGTCTGGGTCTAGATCTGAAGGAGTGAGGAGGTCTGAGTCTAGATCTGAAGGAGTGAGGAGGTCTGAGTCTAGATCTGAGGGAGTGGGAGGTCTGAGTCTAGATCTGAGGGAGTGAGGAGGTCTGGGTCTAGATCTGAGTGAGTGAGGAGGTCTGAGTCTAGATCTGAAGGTGTGAGGAGGTCTGGGTCTAGATCTGAAGGAGTGAGGAGGTCTGGGTCTAGATCTGAAGGAGTGAGGAGGTCTGAGTCTAGATCTGAGGGAGTGAGGAGGTCTGGGTCTAGATCTGAGGGAGTGAGGAGGTCTGGGTCTAGATCTGAGGGAGTGAGGAGGTCTGAGTCTAGATCTGAAGGAGTGAGGAGGTCTGAGTCTAGATCTGAAGGAGTGAGGAGGTCTGGGTCTAGATCTGAGGGAGTGAGGAGGTCTGAGTCTAGATCTGAAGGAGTGAGGAGGTCTGAGTCTAGATCTGAGGGAGTGAGGAGGTCTGGGTCTAGATCTGAAGGAGTGAGGAGGTCTGAGTCTAGATCTGAGGGAGTGAGGAGGTCTGGGTCTAGATCTGAAGGAGTGAGGAGGTCTGGGTCTAGATCTGAAGGAGTGAGGAGGTCTGAGTCTAGATCTGAGGGAGTGAAGAGGTCTGAGTCTAGATCTGAAGGAGTGAGGAGGTCTGGGTCTAGATCTGAGGGAGTGAGGAGGTCTGGGTCTAGATCTGAGGGAGTGAGGAGGTCTGAGTCTAGATCTGAGTGAGTGAGGAGGTCTGAGTCTAGATCTGAGGGAGTGAGGAGGTCTGGGTCTAGATCTGAGGGAGTGAGGAGGTCTGAGTCTAGATCTGAGGGAGTGAGGAGGTCTGGGTCTAGATCTGAAGGAGTGAGGAGGTCTGGGTCTAGATCTGAAGGAGTGAGGAGGTCTGAGTCTAGATCTGAGGGAGTGAAGAGGTCTGAGTCTAGATCTGAAGGAGTGAGGAGGTCTGGGTCTAGATCTGAGGGAGTGAGGAGGTCTGGGTCTAGATCTGAGGGAGTGAGGAGGTCTGAGTCTAGATCTGAGGGAGTGAGGAGGTCTGGGTCTAGATCTGAGGGAGTGAGGAGGTCTGAGTCTAGATCTGAAGGAGTGAGGAGGTCTGAGTCTAGATCTGAAGGAGTGAGGAGGTCTGAGTCTAGATCTGAGGGAGTGAGGAGGTCTGAGTCTAGATCTGAAGGAGTGAGGAGGTCTGGGTCTAGATCTGAGGGAGTGAGGAGGTGTACCATGAGCAGGAGGGGGTGTACCATGTGCAGGAGGAGGTGTACCATGAGCAGGAGGAGGTGTACCATGAGCAGGAGGAGGTGTACCATGTGCAGGAGGAGGTGTACCATGAGCAGTAGGAGGTGTACCATGTGTGTGAGGGGGTGTACCATGTGTGTGAGGTGTACCATGTGTGTGCTCCTGTAGTTCCAGGCAGAGCAGGCCCTGAGCTCGGACACAGAGGGCTTCATAAAGAGGCCCGGGCTCCAGCAGCAGATGCACTGTGTGGCCTTCGTCCTGGACGCCTCCAAAGTCTTCATCACCTCCTACTCCAAAGGAACCATCAGCCTCCTGCAGCAGCTGAGGCACCACATCAGCCACCTGGGTGAGCTGGAGACCCAGGACTGAGGCTGGAGACCAGGACTGAGGCTGGAGACCAGGACTGAGGCTGGAGACCCAGGACTGAGGCTGGAGACCCAGGACTGAGGCTGGAGACCAGGACTGAGGCTGGAGACCAGGACTGAGGCTGGAGACCCAGGACTGAGGCTGGAGACCAGGACTGAGGCTGGAGACCAGGACTGAGGCTGTAGACCCAGGACTGAGGCTGTAGACCCAGGACTGAGGCTGAAGACCAGGACTGAGGCTGTAGACCCAGGACTGAGGCTGTAGACCCAGGACTGAGGCTGAAGACCAGGACTGAGGCTGGAGACACAGGACTGAGGCTGTAGACCAGGACTGAGGCTGGAGACCAGGACTGAGGCTGGAGACCCAGGACTGAGGCTGGAGACCCAGGACTGAGGCTGTAGATCCAGGACTGAGGCTGTAGATCCAGGACTGAGGCTGTAGACCCAGGACTGAGGCTGTAGACCCAGGACTGAGGCTGGAGACCAGGACTGAGGCTGGAGACCAGGACTGAGGCTGGAGACCCAGGACTGAGGCTGGAGACCAGGACTGAGGCTGGAGACCAGGACTGAGGCTGTAGACCCAGGACTGAGGCTGTAGACCCAGGACTGAGGCTGAAGACCAGGACTGAGGCTGTAGACCCAGGACTGAGGCTGTAGACCCAGGACTGAGGCTGTAGACCAGGACTGAGGCTGAGACCAGGACTGAGGCTGAGACCAGGACTGAGGCTGTAGACCCAGGACTGAGGCTGAAGACCAGGACTGAGGCTGGAGACCAGGACTGAGGCTGGAGACCAGGACTGAGGCTGGAGACCAGGACTGAGGCTGTAGACCCAGGACTGAGGCTGAAGACCAGGACTGAGGCTGGAGACCAGGACTGAGGCTGGAGACCAGGACTGAGGCTGTAGACCCAGGACTGAGGCTGGAGACCAGGACTGAGGCTGGAGACCAGGACTGAGGCTGGAGACCAGGACTGAGGCTGTAGACCCAGGACTGAGGCTGAAGACCAGGACTGAGGCTGGAGACCAGGACTGAGGCTGGAGACCAGGACTGAGGCTGTAGACCCAGGACTGAGGCTGAAGACCAGGACTGAGGCTGGAGACCAGGACTGAGGCTGGAGACCAGGACTGAGGCTGTAGATCCAGGACTGAGGCTGAAGACCAGGACTGAGGCTGGAGACCAGGACTGAGGCTGGAGACCAGGACTGAGGCTGGAGACCAGGACTGAGGCTGTAGACCCAGGACTGAGGCTGAAGACCAGGACTGAGGCTGGAGACCAGGACTGAGGCTGGAGACCAGGACTGAGGCTGTAGACCCAGGACTGAGGCTGAAGACCAGGACTGAGGCTGGAGACCAGGACTGAGGCTGGAGACCAGGACTGAGGCTGGAGACCAGGACTGAGGCTGGAGACCAGGACTGAGGCTGGAGACCAGGACTGAGGCTGGAGACCAGGACTGAGGCTGAAGACCAGGACTGAGGCTGGAGACCCAGGACTGAGGCTGGAGACCAGGACTGAGGCTGGAGACCAGGACTGAGGCTGGAGACCCAGGACTGAGGCTGGAGACCCAGGACTGAGGCTGGAGACCAGGACTGAGGCTGGAGACCAGGACTGAGGCTGGAGACCCAGGACTGAGGCTGGAGACCAGGACTGAGGCTGGAGACCAGGACTGAGGCTGTAGACCCAGGACTGAGGCTGTAGACCCAGGACTGAGGCTGAAGACCAGGACTGAGGCTGTAGACCCAGGACTGAGGCTGTAGACCCAGGACTGAGGCTGAAGACCAGGACTGAGGCTGGAGACCAGGACTGAGGCTGGAGACCAGGACTGAGGCTGTAGACCCAGGACTGAGGCTGAAGACCAGGACTGAGGCTGGAGACCAGGACTGAGGCTGGAGACCAGGACTGAGGCTGGAGACCAGGACTGAGGCTGTAGACCCAGGACTGAGGCTGAAGACCAGGACTGAGGCTGGAGACCAGGACTGAGGCTGGAGACCAGGACTGAGGCTGTAGACCCAGGACTGAGGCTGGAGACCAGGACTGAGGCTGGAGACCAGGACTGAGGCTGGAGACCAGGGCTGAGGCTGTAGACCCAGGACTGAGGCTGAAGACCAGGACTGAGGCTGGAGACCAGGACTGAGGCTGGAGACCAGGACTGAGGCTGTAGACCCAGGACTGAGGCTGAAGACCAGGACTGAGGCTGGAGACCAGGACTGAGGCTGGAGACCAGGACTGAGGCTGTAGACCCAGGACTGAGGCTGAAGACCAGGACTGAGGCTGGAGACCAGGACTGAGGCTGGAGACCAGGACTGAGGCTGGAGACCAGGACTGAGGCTGTAGACCCAGGACTGAGGCTGAAGACCAGGACTGAGGCTGGAGACCAGGACTGAGGCTGGAGACCAGGACTGAGGCTGTAGACCCAGGACTGAGGCTGAAGACCAGGACTGAGGCTGGAGACCAGGACTGAGGCTGGAGACCAGGACTGAGGCTGGAGACCAGGACTGAGGCTGGAGACCAGGACTGAGGCTGGAGACCAGGACTGAGGCTGGAGACCAGGACTGAGGCTGGAGACCAGGACTGAGGCTGAAGACCAGGACTGAGGCTGGAGACCAGGACTGAGGCTGGAGACCAGGACTGAGGCCGGAGACCCAGGACTGAGGCCGGAGACCCAGGACTGAGGCTGTAGATCCAGGACTGAGGCTGAAGACCAGGACTGAGGCTGGAGACCAGGACTGAGGCCGGAGACCCAGGACTGAGGCTGTAGATCCAGGACTGAGGCTGAAGACCAGGACTGAGGCTGGAGACCAGGACTGAGGCTGTAGACCCAGGACTGAGGCTGTAGACCCAGGACTGAGGCTGTAGACCCAGGACTGAGGCTGTAGATCCATGACTGAGGCTGTAGACCCAGGACTGAGGCTGTAGACCCAGGACTGAGGCTGTAGACCCAGGACTGAGGCTGTAGATCCATGACTGAGGCTGTAGACCCAGGACTGAGGCTGTAGACCCAGGACTGAGGCTGTAGACCCAGGACTGAGGCTGTAGACCCAGGACTGAGGCTGTAGACCCAGGACTGAGGCTGTAGACCCAGGACTGAGGCTGTAGACCCAGGACTGAGGCTGTAGACCCAGGACTGAGGCTGTAGACCCAGGACTGAGGCTGTAGACCCAGGACTGAGGCTGTAGACCCAGGACTGAGGCTGTAGACCCAGGACTGAGGCTGAAGACCCAGGCCTGAGACTGTAGACCCAGGACTGAGGCTGGAGACCAGGACTGAGGCTGAAGACCCAGGACTGAGACTGTAGACCCAGGACTGAGGCTGAAGACCCAGGCCTGAGACTGTAGACCCAGGACTGAGGCTGGAGACCAGGACTGAGGCTATAGACCCAGGACTGAGGCTGTAGACCCAGGACTGAGGCTGTAGACCCAGGACTGAGGCTGTAGACCCAGGACTGAGGCTGAAGACCCAGGCCTGAGACTGTAGACCCAGGACTGAGGCTGGAGACCAGGACTGAGGCTATAGACCCAGGACTGAGGCTGTAGACCCAGGACTGAGGCTGAAGACCCAGGACTGAGACTGTAGACCCAGGACTGAGGCTGTAGACCCAGGACTGAGGCTGTAGACCCAGGACTGAGGTTGTAGACCCAGGACTGAGGCTGTAGACCCAGGACTGAGGCTGTAGACCCAGGACTGAGGCTGAAGACCCAGGCCTGAGACTGTAGACCCAGGACTGAGGCTGGAGACCAGGACTGAGGCTGGAGACCAGGACTGAGACTGGAGACCAGGACTGAGGCTGGAGACCAGGACTGAGGCTGGAGACCAGGACTGAGACTGGAGACCCAGGACTGAGGCTGTAGACCCAGGACTGAGGCTGGAGACCAGGACTGAGGCTGTAGACCCAGGACTGAGGCTGTAGACCCAGGACTGAGGCTGAAGACCCAGGCCTGAGACTGTAGACCCAGGACTGAGGCTGTAGACCCAGGACTGAGGCTGTAGACCCAGGACTGAGGCTGTAGACCCAGGACTGAGGCTGAAGACCCAGGCCTGAGACTGTAGACCCAGGACTGAGGCTGGAGACCAGGACTGAGGCTGGAGACCAGGACTGAGACTGGAGACCAGGACTGAGGCTGGAGACCAGGACTGAGGCTGGAGACCAGGACTGAGACTGGAGACCAGGACTGAGGCTGGAGACCAGGACTGAGGCTGTAGACCCAGGACTGAGGCTGTAGACCCAGGACTGAGGCTGTAGACCCAGGACTGAGGCTGTAGATCCATGACTGAGGCTGTAGACCCAGGACTGAGGCTGTAGACCCAGGACTGAGGCTGTAGACCCAGGACTGAGGCTGTAGACCCAGGACTGAGGCTGTAGACCCAGGACTGAGGCTGTAGACCCAGGACTGAGGCTGTAGACCCAGGACTGAGGCTGTAGACCCAGGACTGAGGCTGTAGACCCAGGACTGAGGCTGTAGACCCAGGACTGAGACTGTAGACCCAGGACTGAGGCTGTAGACCCAGGACTGAGGCTGTAGACCCAGGACTGAGGCTGTAGACCCAGGACTGAGACTGTAGACCCAGGACTGAGGCTGTAGACCCAGGACTGAGACTGTAGACCCAGGACTGAGGCTGTAGACCCAGGACTGAGGCTGTGGACCCAGGACTGAGGCTGTAGACCCAGGACTGAGGCTGTAGACCCAGGACTGAGACTGTAGACCCAGGACTGAGGCTGTAGACCCAGGACTGAGGCTGTAGACCCAGGACTGAGGCTGTAGACCCAGGACTGAGGCTGTAGACCCAGGACTGAGGCTGTAGACCCAGGACTGAGGCTGTAGACCCAGGACTGAGGCTGTAGACCCAGGACTGAGGCTGAAGACCCAGGACTGAGACTGTAGACCCAGGACTGAGGCTGGAGACCAGGACTGAGGCTGAAGACCCAGGACTGAGACTGGAGACCAGGACTGAGGCTGTAGACCCAGGACTGAGGCTGTAGACCCAGGACTGAGGCTGAAGACCCAGGCCTGAGACTGTAGACCCAGGACTGAGGCTGTAGACCCAGGACTGAGGCTGTAGACCCAGGACTGAGGCTGTAGACCCAGGACTGAGGCTGTAGACCCAGGACTGAGGCTGAAGACCCAGGACTGAGGCTGTAGACCCAGGACTGAGGCTGTAGACCCAGGACTGAGGCTGTAGACCCAGGACTGAGGCTGGAGACCCAGGACTGAGGCTGTAGACCCAGGACTGAGGCTGTAGACCCAGGACTGAGGCTGTAGACCCAGGACTGAGGCTGTAGACCCAGGACTGAGGCTGTAGACCCAGGACTGAGGCTGTAGACCCAGGACTGAGGCTGGAGACCAGGACTGAGGTTGGAGACCAGGACTGAGACTGGAGACCAGGACTGAGGCTGTAGACCCAGAACTGAGGCTGGAGACCAGGACTGAGACTGGAGACCAGGACTGAGGCTGTAGACCCAGGACTGAGGCTGTAGACCCAGGACTGAGGCTGTAGACCCAGGCCTGAGACTGTAGACCCAGGACTGAGGCTGTAGACCCAGGACTGAGGCTGTAGACCCAGGACTGAGGCTGTAGACCCAGGACTGAGGCTGTAGACCCAGGACTGAGGCTGTAGACCCAGGACTGAGGCTGTAGACCCAGGACTGAGACTGGAGACCAGGACTGAGACTGGAGACCAGGACTGAGGCTGGAGACCAGAACTGAGGCTGGAGACCAGGACTGAGACTGGAGACCAGGACTGAGGCTGTAGACCCAGGACTGAGGCTGTAGACCCAGGACTGAGGCTGTAGACCCAGGACTGAGACTGTAGACCCAGGACTGAGGCTGTAGACCCAGGACTGAGGCTGTAGACCCAGGACTGAGGCTGTAGACCCAGGACTGAGGCTGTAGACCCAGGACTGAGGCTGTAGACCCAGGACTGAGACTGGAGACCAGGACTGAGACTGGAGACCAGGACTGAGGTTGGAGACCAGGACTGAGGCTGTAGACCCAGGACTGAGGCTGTAGACCCAGGACTGAGGCTGTAGACCCAGGACTGAGGCTGTAGACCCAGGACTGAGGCTGTAGACCCAGGACTGAGGCTGTAGACCCAGGACTGAGGCTGTAGACCCAGGACTGAGGCTGTAGACCCTGGACTGAGGCTGTAGACCCAGGACTGAGGCTGTAGACCCAGGACTGAGGCTGAAGACCCAGGACTGAGGCTGTAGACCCAGGACTGAGGCTGAAGACCCAGGACTGAGGCTGTAGACCCAGGACTGAGGCTGAAGACCCAGGACTGAGGCTGTAGACCCAGGACTGAGGCTGTAGACCCAGGACTGAGGCTGTAGACCCAGGACTGAGGCTGTGGACCCAGGACTGAGGCTGTAGACCCAGGACTGAGGCTGAAGCCATAATGACAGACACAGTTCCTCTGACGAAGAGGTGATGTTTCCACAGGAGTTCATCAGGTCGTTCTTCTGACCCACGTCGACAAAATCTGCAAAGAAACAGAATCAGACACATCCGAGGTTTACAACAGCAAAGTGATCCGCGAGACGGTGAGAGGAGAGCGCTAACAGGCTAATGCTAACAGGCCATCGTTACTGGTGTCTCCAGCGCCACCTGCAGGACACACAATCATTGTCCAACTATCGAGACACCCAGATACTTTGTCAATGCTAACACAGACTGTATACAGATGCTAATGCTAACACAGACTGTATACAGATGCTAATGCTAACACAGGCTGTATACAGATGCTAATGCTAACACAGGCTGTATACAGATGCTAATGCTAACACAGACTGTATACAGATGCTAATGCTAACACAGACTGTATACAGATGCTAATGCTAACACAGACTGTATACAGATGCTAATGCTAACACAGACTGTATACAGATGCTAATGCTAACACAGGCTGTATACAGATGCTAATGCTAACACAGACTGTATACAGATGCTAATGCTAACACAGACTGTATACAGATGCTAATGCTAACACAGACTGTATACAGATGCTAATGCTAACACAGACTGTATACAGATGCTAATGCTAACACAGGCTGTATACAGATGCTAATGCTAACACAGGCTGTATACAGATGCTAATGCTAACACAGACTGTATACAGATGCTAATGCTAACACAGACTGTATACAGATGCTAATGCTAACACAGACTGTATACAGATGCTAATGCTAACACAGACTGTATACAGATGCTAATGCTAACACAGACTGTATACAGATGCTAATGCTAACACAGACTGTATACAGATGCTAATGCTAACACAGACTGTATACAGATGCTAATGCTAACACAGACTGTATACAGATGCTAATGCTAACACAGACTGTATACAGATGCTAATGCTAACACAGACTGTATACAGATGCTAATGCTAACACAGACTGTATACAGATGCTAATGCTAACACAGACTGTATACAGATGCTAATGCTAACACAGACTGTATACAGATGCTAATGCTAACACAGACTGTATACAGATGCTAATGCTAACACAGACTGTATACAGATGCTAATGCTAACACAGACTGTATACAGATGCTAATGCTAACACAGACTGTATACAGATGCTAATGCTAACACAGACTGTATACAGATGCTAATGCTAACACAGACTGTATACAGATGCTAATGCTAACACAGACTGTATACAGATGCTAATGCTAACACAGACTGTATACAGATGCTAATGCTAACACAGACTGTATACAGATGCTAATGCTAACACAGACTGTATACAGATGCTAATGCTAACACAGACTGTATACAGATGCTAATGCTAACACAGACTGTATACAGATGCTATGCTAACACAGACTGTATACAGATGCTAATGCTAACACAGACTGTATACAGATGCTAATGCTAACACAGACTGTATACAGATGCTAATGCTAACACAGACTGTATACAGATGCTAATGCTAACACAGACTGTATACAGATGCTAATGCTAACACAGACTGTATACAGATGCTAATGCTAACACAGACTGTATACAGATGCTAATGCTAACAGGCTGTATACAGATGCTAATGCTAACACAGACTGTATACAGATGCTAATGCTAACAGGCTGTATACAGATGCTAATGCTAAACAGGCTGTATACAGATGCAGAAAATTGGCTCTGTTATTAGACTGTGGTGATGTCACACTGGGTCAATCCTCTGCTCCCCCTCCCTCCCCCTCTCTCCCCCTCCCCCTCCCTCCCCCCCCCTCTCTCCCCCTCCCTCCCCCTCCCTCCCCCTCCCTCCCCCTCTCTCCCCCCCTCCCCTCCCCCCCCTCCCCCCCCCTCCCTCCCCCTCCCCCTCTCTCCCCCTCCCTCCCCTCCCTCCCCCTCTCTCCCCCTCCCTCCCCCTCTCTCCCCCTCCCTCCCTCCCCCTCTCCCCCTCTCCCCCTCTCTCCCCCTCCCTCCCTCCCCCTCCCTCTCCCTCCCCCCCCCTCCCTCCCCCTCCCTCCCCCTCCCTCCCTCCCCCTCTCTCTCCCCCCCCCCCCCCCTCCCTCCCCCTCCCTCCCTCCCTCCCCCTCTCTCCCCCTCTCTCCCCCCCTCTCTCCCTCCCCCTCTCTCCCCCCTCTCTCCCCCTCCCTCCCCCTCTCTCCCCCTCTCTTCCCCCCTCTCTCTCCCTCCCCCCCCCTCCCTCCCTCCCCCTCTCTCCCTCCCTCCCCCTCCCTCCCCCTCCCCCCTCTCTCCCCCTCTCTCCCCCTCCCTCCCCCTCCCTCCCTCCCCCTCTCTCCCCCTCTCTCTCCCCCCCCCCCCCCTCCCTCCCCCTCTCTCCCCCTCTCTCCCCCTTTCTCCCTCCCCCTCTCTCCCCCTCCCTCCCCCTCTCTCCCCCCTCTCTCTCCCTCCCTCCCCCTCTCTCTCCCTCCCCCCCCCCTCCCTCCCCCTCTCTCCCCCTCTCTCTCCTCCCTCCCCCTCCCTCTCTCCCCCTCTCTCTCCCTCCCCCCCCCCCCCCCCCTCCCCTCCTCTCCTCCCTCCCCCCCCCCTCCCTCCCCCTCTCTCTCCCTCCCTCCCCCTCCCTCCCTCCCCCTCTCTCTCCCCCCCCCCCCTCCCCCCCCCCCCTCCCCCCCTCTCTCTCCCTCCCTCCCCTCTCTCCCCCTCTCTCTCCCTCCCCCCCCTCCTCCCCCTCTCTCCCCTCCCTCCCCCTCTCCCCCTCCCCCCCTCCCCCCCCCCTCTCCCCCCCTCTCCTCCCCCCCCCCCTCCTCCCCCCCCCCTCCCTCCCCCTCCCTCCCCTCCCTCCCCCTCTCCCCCTCTCTCTCCCTCCCCCCCCCTCCCTCCCCCTCCCTCCCCCTCTCTCCCCCTCTCTCTCCCTCCCTCCCTCCCCCTCTCTCCCCCTCCCTCCCCCTCCCTCCCCCTCCCCCTCTCTCCCCCTCTCTCCCCTCCCTCCCCCTCTCTCCCCCCTCTCCCCCCCCCTCCCTCCCCCTCTCTCCCCCTCCCTCCCCCTCTCTCTCCCTCCCCCCCCCCTCCCTCCCCCTCCTCCCTCCCCCTCCCTCCCTCCCCCTCTCTCCCCCTCCCTCCCCCTCTCCCCTCCCCCTCTCTCCCCCTCTCTCCCTCCCCCTCTCTCCCCCTCTCTCCCCCTCCCTCCCCCTCTCTCCCCCTCTCTTCCCCTCTCTCTCCCTCCCCCCCCCTCCCTCCCTCCCCCTCTCTCCCTCCCTCCCCCTCCCTCCCCCCCCCCCTCTCTCCTCCTCTCTCCCCCTCCCTCCCCCTCCCTCCCTCCCCCTCTCTCCCCCTCTCTCTCCCTCCCCCCCCCCCTCCCTCCCCCTCCCTCCCTCCCTCCCCCTCCCTCCCCCTCCCTCCCCCTCCCTCCCCCTCTCTCCCCCTCCCTCCCCCTCTCTCTCCCCTCCCTCCCCCTCTCTCCCCCTCTCTCTCCCTCCCCCCCCCCTCCCTCCCCCTCTCTCCCCCTCTCTCCCCCTCCCTCAGATGCTGAAGGCGGCCGAGCTGGTGGGCCTGTCCCCGAGCTCGGTGGTCCCTGTGAGGAACTACTGGTGTGAGCTGGAGCTGGATCTGGCCACAGACGTTCTGCTGCTGCGAGCCATGGACCTCCTCCTGCAGTACACCCACCTGTACTACAGGGGGCAGCAGAGAGACACACACAAGGACCAGCTGGACTAGGGCGGCTGTGGGGGAGGAGGGGGTGGGGGTCGTGGAGGAGGTGGAGGAGGTGGAGGAGGTGGGGGTCAGTCCTTCAGTTTGGGGTAAACGTGTCTAATGTGTTCTTTGTTCTTGTGCTTTAAAGCCTTGATGTAATTTGACATTAAAAACATAAATGCAAATGTTACACTGTTCCTCAGTCACCGACCTGGAGCTGCTTTTAGATCCATCCATGCTCTCATCAGAAGCTCCTGTCTGCGGTCATGTGATCTCAGAAACTCAGACTCCCACCGAGACTTTAGGACCGAGACTGTAGGACCGAGACTGTAGGACCGAGACTGTAGGACCGAGACTGTAGGTCCGAGACTGTAGGACCGAGACTGTAGGTCCGAGACTGTAGGACCGAGACTGTAGGTCCGAGACTGTAGGACCGAGACTGTAGGTCCGAGACTGTAGGTCCGAGACTGTAGGACCGAGACTTTAGGTCCGAGACTTTAGGTCCGAGACTTTAGGTCCGAGACTTTAGGACTGAGACTATAGGACTGAGACTATAGGACTGAGACTGTAGGTCCGAGACTGTAGGACCGAGACTTTAGGTCCGAGACTTTAGGTCCGAGACTGTAGGACCGAGACTTTAGGACTGAGACTATAGGACTGAGACTATAGGACTGAGACTATAGGACTGAGACTTTAGGACAGAGACTGTAGGACTGAGACTGTAGGACCGAGACTTTAGGACCGAGACTTTAGGTCCGAGACTGTAGGACCGAGACTTTAGGTCCGAGACTTTAGGACCGAGACTGTAGGACCGAGACTTTAGGTCAGAGACTGTAGGACCGAGACTTTAGGTCCGAGACTTTAGGACCGAGACTGTAGGACCGAGACTTTAGGTCAGAGACTGTAGGACCGAGACTTTAGGTCCGAGACTTTAGGACCGAGACTTTAGGTCCGAGACTGTAGGACCGAGACTTTAGGTCCGAGACTGTAGGACCGAGACTTTAGGTCCGAGACTGTAGGACTGAGACTTTAGGTCCGAGACTGTAGGACCGAGACTTTAGGACCGAGACTTTAGGTTCGAGACTGTAGGACCGAGACTTTAGGTCCGAGACTGTAGGACTGAGACTTTAGGTCCGAGACTGTAGGACCGAGACTTTAGGACCGAGACTTTAGGTTCGAGACTGTAGGACCGAGACTTTAGGTCCGAGACTTTAGGACCGAGACTGTAGGACCGAGACTTTAGGTCAGAGACTGTAGGACCGAGACTTTAGGTCAGAGACTGTAGGACCGAGACTTTAGGTCCGAGACTTTAGGACCGAGACTTTAGGTCCGAGACTTTAGGACCGAGACTTTAGGTCCGAGACTGTAGGACCGAGACTTTAGGTCCGAGACTGTAGGACCGAGACTTTAGGTCCGAGACTGTAGGACCGAGACTTTAGGTCCGAGACTGTAGGACCGACACTTTAGGTCCGAGACTGTAGGACTGAGACTTTAGGTCCGAGACTTTAGGTCCGAGACTTTAGGACCGAGACTTTAGGTCCGAGACTGTAGGACTGAGACTTTAGGTCCGAGACTTTAGGTCCGAGACTGTAGGACTGAGACTGTAGGTCCGAGACTTTAGGACTGAGACTGAGGTCATGGTCACACAAATATATACAGTCTATGGGTCACACACAGTGCATGTGTGTAGCAGATTGTGTGTGGCAGATTGTGTGTGGCAGATTACAATACAATACAATACAATGTATTCTTGTATAGCCCTAGGTCACAACAGAAGTCATCTCAGAGGATTTAACAAAACCATTGAAATCACCAACACAGGTCAGAGAATCAACAGTTAAAACACATGAAGAATATAAAGCACACACAGAAGAAAATGTCCATACATGTTGTAGAATGCTAAAGTGTCCTGATCATCACCAATCCTTTCTGTTGGACACTAACTGTCCAACAAGACCCTCCTGCATCCACAAGGAAAAACTCTTAAAAAACCCAGTGGGAAAAAGTGAGAAACCTTGGAGGAGAACTAGGGAAACCCACAGGGAGGGAGACCCATATGAGAAAGGGATCCGCTCCTCCGGACGGACAGGCTAATGATCCAGGACCTAAGCTAGCTACAGAACGTGGACCAGTGGACGCTGAACGTGGACAGGTCCGGTGCAGGACTGAAGCACTCCCAGGCGGGTCGGGCGGGGCAGTCCGCAGGTGTAGATGGAAGAGGCCAGGCTCAGAGGTCCCGTCATCGTACCATGAAACAGACAATGGGACAACGGGTGAATAGCAATGAACAAACTACAGTCAGAATCCTAAAAATGCTAAACAGATAAAGTAGGAAGGAGGAGAGGATAGTGCTCAAGTTACCATACTTCTCCAGCAGGGGGCGCCCTATGCAGCTTGACTGACACTCTGAGGAGTTTAACCTTCTCCGAGTCTTACCTTCCTAGCCATATGCTAAACTAAAGAGGACTGTTTTAAACCTAGCCTTGAATAAAGAATAACATACAGCATAATATATAACATAATATACAACATAACACAATACATTATTGAATAATATATAACATAATATATAACATAATACAGCATATATATATAATATATACACTACATATTATATATTACCTAATTATATGCTAAATTAAAGTAAAGTGCTTTAAGCCTGGCCTTGAATGTGGAGACCGTATCTGCTTCCTTAACATAAATGAAGCTGATTCCACAGTAAAGGAGCTTGGAGCTAAATGCTCTGCCACCAACAGTGACCTTTGAGACCTTAGGGACCACCAGACGTCTGGCGTTTTGTGAGCGCAACGCTCGACCTGGTTGATACGACACTAACGTGTCTTGGAGATAAGAAGGAGCCAAGCCATTTATGGCTTTATATGTTAAGAGTAGGATTTTAAACTTTATTCTGTACTCCACAGGAGCCAGTGGAGTGATTTTAACACCGGAGTTATGTGCTCCCTCCTTTTGGTACCTGTTAAGATCCTAGCTGCTGTATTCTGAACGAGCTGGAAGCTCTTCAAAGAGGCTTTAGGGCACGCTGCCAGTAAAGCGTTACAGTCGAGCCTTGAGGTGACAAACGCGTGAATGAGTTTTTCCGCGTCACTTTTAGGAAGGAAATTCCTAATTTTAGCGATGTTCCGTAAGTGGAAGTACGCCGTTTTAGTTGCTTGGCTTATATAAGCCTTGAAGGAGAGTTCTTGGTCAAAAATGACTCCAAGATTCCTCACAGTGTTACTGGGTATTATACTGACATTATCGAGAGTAACCATCTGGTTAGTGAGGGAGTCACGCAGGCGCTTCGGACCGAGTAGGATCACTTCTGTCTTCTCCGGGTTGAGAAGTAGGAAGTTAAGAGTCATCCACATTTTAAGGTCCTTTATGCAGGCACTGAGCTTTTCTAGCTGATCTGTCTGATTAGGCTTCATCGACAGATAAAGCTGTGTGTCATCTGCAGCAGTGGAAATTAATTCCATGCTTTTTAATAATGTTTCCCAGTGGCAGCATGTAGAGAGTAAAAAGAATCGGTCCGAGTACCGAACCTTGCGGCACACCGAATTCCACTCCAGAATAAGGCGACGAGTCCTGATTCACATTGACGAAGTGATATCGATCTGATAAATAGGATTTAAACCAGCCAAGGGCTGTTCCTCTAAGACCTATATCACATTCTAGCCTCTGCAGTAGAATGCTGTGGTCTATTGTGTCAAATGCAGCACTAAGGTCCAGTAGGACCAGCACTGACACTTGTCCATTATCGGCAGCTAGTAGTAAGTCATTTGTGACTTTGACTAGTGCCGTTTCAGTCTATGATGAGCTCTGAATCCTGATTGAAAGACTTCAAACATATCATTTTCCTGCAGGTGGCAGCGGAGCTGCTCAGCTATAAGTTTTTCCAGGATTTTAGATATAAAAGTGAGGTTTGAGATCGGTCTGTAGTTTGTAAGTATTTCTGGGTCCAGGTTTGTTTTCTTCAGAAGGGGTCAGATTGTGTGTAGCAGATTGTGTGTAGCAGATTGTGTGTAGCAGATTGTGTGTGGCAGATTGTGTGTAGCAGATTGTGTGTAGCAGATTGTGTGTAGCAGATTGTGTGGCAGATTGTGTGTGGCAGATTGTGTGTATATTATATACTGATAATAGCATGTGTATTATCCGTGTATAAGTTATACCGGAGTTCACCCTTAGAGGGCGCACTCGCACTGTTCAGAGCCAAGTGCGCAGTGTTGAGTGATAAGTTTGTTGCAAGCCCCGGCGATCCAAGATGGCGCCCTATTCAAATGAATGGTTGTGGTCAGTGGCGCTTTGTGACGGCATGGGGGCTGAAAGATTAGCGGAACTTTGGGCGGAGGCAAGATGGCGGAATGAGCGGTTGCGACCAAAGCGGGTCTGACAGAGAACACGGAATATAAAGTCCAAAGTTGAACTTACGAAGGAAGAACTAGCCCAACGGTTGAGGAAAGAGACCTTAATTCACTCAGATAAGTTTTGATAGTGTGCGAAGGAGGACAACTTGGTCATTTACGACACATTGGCATGATGGCTAACCCCGAACAGGTTAGCTTAAATGAGCATGATTACAGTGAGACCACATCAAAACACGTGTGCGAGGAAGACGAAATTGTTGATATGGAACAATATCCTGAAGGCACTAGACCATATGGAGAACCACTCGAAGAGCCCCTAAACAGCCCAAACCCCAAAAGAATTAAAAGGAGGACCGCGACAAAGGAAGAAGATGGAGAGAGCAGCAACCTCGCGGTGGTGTTCCAATCAATAATGTCAAGGTTTGATGGTTTGGATGGCAAGCTGCGGATCATTGAAACACGTGTGGATGGAGTGAAGGCAGACCTAAAAAAAATTGACGTTCTGGAAAAAAAGCTGGAAGGTACTGAAACAAGTATTGTGGATATTTGTCAATCTGTAAAGGAAAATAAAGATCACATTGTTGAGTTACAAGATAATGTAAAGCTGCTCACTGAAGAAAACAAGAAACTTAGAGAGCAATGCTTGGAAAGTGCCAGATA